CCCAAGAAACTGGTGAATAACCTCCACTGAATTGCCATTGTAGTCCCACATAGGAGGTCTGTGATAGTCTCTTTTCTCTAATGTCTCTAAAATACAAGTTTTATTTTCTTGACTTTTCTTTTTTTATCTTAAAGGAAATAATACTTACTGTGGATCATTTGTGAAAAGCCACAAAAAAGAAAATGAAAGATCACTCATAATTCTGTCATCTGAAGATGATGACCATTAACACTTTGGGGTATACTGCTTCAGGCCACTTTCCTAACATATATATTACATTTATTTATATGTTAAGCATTTTGAGATCACCAAATACATGCTGTCTATAATCTGCATTTTCTTTATAGTGTGTTGTGAGCATTTCTTGTATTCTTAAATAGTCTTCAAAAGCATGACTATCTAGAAATCTAGTATACAACATGGAGACTATAATGAATCCTATTGTATTGTGTACTAGTGATTTGTCAAGAGCATAGCTTTTTAGGGATGCTAACCACAAAAAAAAAAAAATAAGAAGAAAGAAAAGTAACAGTGTGAGATAATGGTTATGTTGATTTACCTAACTATAGCAATCACTTCACTATGTGTATTCTGAGATGAGTATGTCAAAACATCATGTTGTGTATCTTAAATATATACAATAAAAGGAAAAAGCAATCATAATACCTCCATAGTACTTACTCACCATGATAGAAGGTGCTGTGATAAGCATTCTCATCCATAAATCTCCGTGCATGTCTCTTGTCCTTAGGGTACGTTCCCAGAGGTGGAATTTCGCCTCTTGACCTATGCCTTTGTAAGGCCCAGTTGCCCCCCTGAGATGCTGTGGGTTTCTCACACCCCTTCATCTGCACAGAAGTGCCTGTCTCTCTGGGTTCATGCTAACACTGAGTGCCCTACTTTTTTGAGTCTATAAATCTCTAAGTAAAAAAAGAATCTTATTTTAATCATCAGTAATTGTGTTTATTGGCCGTTTGTTTGTTTTATTAAGATGTATTTTTTGTTGCTTACAAGAAACTACTCTTTGTCATGTGTTAGAAAAATCTTCTCTCTAGTTTGTCATTTGCCTTTTAATATTTTTTTTAAAAGATAAGAATATTACTAATCAGTCTTTTCTCTGGATGTTTCTGCTTTTGTTTCTGTGTTTATAAAGGCCGTGCCTCAAGAACAAATATCAATTCATCTTTTTTCTAGTTCCTTTATGATGTTTTTGCATCTAAAATTTTAATTCATCTAAGATTTATCTTGATATAGTATGAATCTTACTTTTCTTGATCTCACAATGTGTATAGTTGTTTCACCAACACAAACCAAATAGTTCATCCTTTCATCACTAGTTCACAGGATGACCTGTGTCAATTGTTAAAAATCTATTTCTGAGCCCTCTGTTTAGTTCCATTAATCTAATTCTTATACCAGCACCAAACCATTATATTGTATTTTTATATCTAATAGCACAAATACTGTCATTATTTTTCCTTTTCAAAGTGTTCTTAGCAATTTTCACCAATTTATTTTTCTAAATTGGGGTCAGCAAACTAGTTTGAGGCTTTGCAAGCCATAACAGTTTGTCAGTAGTGCTCAACTCTGCTCTGGCAGTGCAGAGCAGCCACAGACAGTGATAAATGAGGCTGTATTCTAATTAAACTTTGTTTACAAAACAGGCCATGGGTTGATTTGTTCTGAGGGCTATGGTTTGCCAACTTCTGTTCTTGATGAGTTTTTGAATTAGCTCATAAACACATAAAATGTGTAAATACACATATACACTCTTTTCAAATATATGTGTGTGTATGTATATATATATTTTTTAAGGGATTTGGTTACAATGGCATCATACTTACAAAATGATTTGGAAGAAACATGGCATTTTTATAACATAAGGTCTTCCCATTAGGCAGCATTAAGTGTTATTTTATGTTGATCCTCAGTGTTTTATGATTTCCTTCATACAGGTTCTGCAAATTTCTGGTTAACTTATTTATTTCTTTATTTCTTTATTTTAAATTTATTTTGTGAGAGGGAGTCTCACTCTGTTGCCCAGGCTAGAGTGCAGTGGCACGATCTCAGCTCACTACAAACTCCACGTCCCAGGTTCAAGAGATTCTCCTGCCTTAGTCTCCCGAGTACCTGGGATTACAGGTGTAAGCCACAATGCCCAGCTAATTTTTGTATTTTCAGTAGAGACAGGGTTTCAGCGTGTTGGCCAGGCCAGTCCTGAACTCCTGACCTCAAGTGATCTACCCACCTTGGCCTCGGCCTCCCGAAGTGCTAGGATTGCAGGCATGAGCCACTGTGCTGGGCCTCTTGTTAACTTTAAAACTTTGACTCTTGTGAATGGAGTCTGAATGGAAGAGGAGTGTCCCATGACTCCCTGCCTGTTCTGTGATTTGCTAGAAGGATGTCAGGACTCAGGGCTCTAGTTGACAGCCCATCAGCAAGGGGAAGGAACACATGGGGTGGGGGTGGCTGGAAGAGTCCATCCAAGGGCTCCCACCCAGCATGTGCTCCAGCGGCCAGCCTCAAATGCAGCAACCCAGGATTCTGCATAGATTTTGTCTCCAGTTCAAACTTTGATTTTACTTGTATTTAGTTTTCTTTAGTGCATACCTTGGGAGAATGTGATGAAACCCAGGTACACCCAGCTCTGCACTCACTGCGGGCCCTGATTGCCATTACAGCCCTGGAATTAAATCCCTTAGGTTAAAGCTTGGGAGCAGGCTCTCTCCCTTCTATTTTGAATCATCAGGATTTATCTCACTCAGCTTATTCAAATAAAAGAAACATCTGGCTGGACACGTGATCCCAGCACTTTGGGAGGCCAAGGCAGGTGGATCACCTGAGGTCAGGAGTTTGAGACCAGCCTGGGCAATGTGATGAAACCTCGTCTCTACTAAAAAAAAAAAAAATACAAAAAATTAGCTAGGCGTGGTGGTATGCACCTGTAATCCTAGCTACTTGGGAGGCTGAGGCAGGAGAATCGCTTAAACCTGGGAGGTGGAGGTTGCAGTGAGCTGAGATCACCACTACACTCCAGCTTGGGCAACAGAGCAAGATTCCATCTCAAAACAAAACAAACAAAAGAAACTTCTTAACTGAAGCATGAAGGTAAAAATCTTGGGAAACTTCCTTATTAAGGGTGGAGAAACTTAAGCTGTTAGAACCAGGCTAACCTTTACCTGTTGAAGGAGACTGGTTCTCTTTGTGGTGTGACCTGCTTTACCAAAAAGATGAAATAAAGCCTCCTGCAGCTGGGATTCCTTCCACCTTTGTTAGCCAGAGAGCCTGCCACCCCCACCCCATGATGATTCTGTGACCCTCTTCACCCCTCTGCCCTGAGGGTCTTCTCTCAATTATCTATTTTCGTTTTTCCAGGTCTCTAGCCTCCTAAAGGCTAAGGGGCAACTAGAATTTTAACTGTTTCTTAACAAGGATTCCTCCAATAAATGGCAAGGCCTGACATTCTGAGAGTGAGACACTTAAAATGTGAACAGTACTGAGTTAATGAACTTAAGTTCTAACTGCGATGTAAGTAACTTGCATAGAGCCTCCTTTGCAAAGCCTTCTGATACAGGGTGGGCACCGAGGAATAAAGCCGAGAGAGAGGGCTCTGAGCAGACCTCAGATGAGGTCCCTGATAACCGAGGTGGAGCTGCAGAAGGAAAGGAGGTAGGTGTCAGGGACAGGCTCTTCCCTTTTGCAGGTTTGCCTTGATAGGTCTGGGGCCAGCAGAGGTCTGCTTCCCCACCTGCTTCCTTCCAGCTTTACTCAGGATTAACTTAATCTTTGCAGATTAAGAGGCTACAAATCTCTTCATATTCCTCTAGGATGCTTCTCACTTCTCATTTCTTTCTGCCTTCACACTTTCCCTTTGCAGGAGCTGGCCTGGCTCCCAGTTTGTCGTAGACACCCCTGGGCCCCTTTATTCATACTCCTGTTTGTGTTTTCAGATGTATTTGCACTTTCTTGCCTGGAGTCTATGATGTAAAACTAGTCAGGGCTCCCAGGCATGAAAGGACACAGCCAAGGCCTTCATTTCACATAGAAATAAGTTATGAACTTTGTAAGATCTTTAAGATGGAGGATTAGCCGTGAATTGGAGTGGGTTTTTTGAGAATTTCACAACCTAGTTAGGTTTTCTGTATAAACAAGGGCCGCCCTTGTCTTCCTTCACACCACTTTTTATCTGGCCACTCAGGAAACACCAGTTAATTTTTTTTTTTCTGAGACAGGGTCTTGCTTTGTTGCCCAGGCTAAAGTACAGGGCTACAGGCCTGATCATAGCTCATTGCAGCCTTGAACTCCTGGGCTCAGACAGTTCTCCCACCTCAGTTACCCTAGTAGCTGGGACTACAGGCACACAACTCCACACCCAGCTAAGTTTTTAAAAATTATTTTTTTGTGGAGACAAAGTCTTACTACTATGTTGTCCAGGATGGTCTTGAACTCCTGGCCCCAAGTGATCTTCCTGCCTTGGCATCCCAAAGCATCGGGATTATAGGCATAAGCCACTGCGCCTGGCCAGGAAACACCAATTAATTCTCATGTTAGCCCAAATAAAACATAATTTGGAAGGTGAACCAACTCCAGAAAGCCGAGTTACCTGTTTCCCCAACTTCCTGCCTTTTTCCTCTTCTTTTTGCCTTCTCTGCATTGTTAAAATTGTTCCAGCTAGCCTCCTTTTTCATTTAACTAGATACTTAAGGAATTCCCCAAATACAATAGTTAGGATTTTAAGAATCTTAGGATTCAAAGACTTCATCAGACTTCTCCAACTACATTTACAGGTTGACTCTAAGTTGTTTTTTATTTTATTTATTTATTTATTTATTTTATTCTACTCTTAGCAAAGATCTCATTTATTCTAAGTTGTTTATTGATTCTGGTGGGAAACAGCCTCTGTCCAATGTGTGTGTCCCTACGTGTGGGGATGATGTTCGCTGGTGCTGGCCGTCACGTGTGAGCCCTTGGTCACAGAACGTCACTTGGTTCTATTTCAGAGTTCCCTAAAAAGAAGAAGCAGTCGGGAAATATACAAAGAGAAGAAAACCTTTAACCAGGTAAGCAGAGGTTTTCATTCTCATGCTATATCTCCTATAAGTGAAGTCACTTTTTAAATTTTTAATTTTTTCAATAAGTGTTAGCTTTGCCTTTAAAACATTCAGAGAAACATTACCTGCCCAAATACGTGGCCTCATTCCTAACTTCCACAGGGTGGACATTTTCTTTCTAAACCCACAGCTCCTTCCTCTTGTTTCTCCCTCACGCTGACAAGCTGGTGATTTCTTCAGGAAAAAGAACTGGCTTTGTGTGAAACAGAACTAAGTGTAGTCTAGGGGCCTGGTGGTACTCATAAGTGGGAAAAAATGTTTGACCTTCAAAGTCATCCACACAGTGAAATAAAACCTCCACTGTGGTGTTCAGTCATTTCATAGGCCATTCTTTTGAATGTTGTTGCTTTTGTTTTTTAACGTGCAAGGCAAACAATATCTTAAATGGTTCTAATTGAAGGTAAAATATTCTCAGCCCTTTCTAGATGGACAGTATGTATTCTTCAAAACTTTCCTAGCTTTTCTGTAAAGCTGTTTAATGGGATTCTTTTCTAAAAATTGCTGCTAGCATTAGGTGGTAGAGAGAACAAAGGTGTTATTGGGATATCAGCTCACTGCACTCTGAGAGCAAGTAGTAATTAGAGAGACACAATGAGTTGGGGTAACTAAGAGCTCAGCGACCTCCACCGACCTGGTGCAGCCCAGTCCCTGTGAACTGCCCTCATAAGGATCCCCTCGGGTTTCTCGATTCTCCAAACTCACTGATCCCCAGGGCGTCATTCAAGGAGGGGCAGGCCCCTGTAGCAGCAGGAACACTAAAGCCTAACTGTTCCTTTCCACCCTCCCAGCCTCCCAGTCTCACTTTGGAATCTATTAATAACAGGGAGATTAAAGTCTGCCATCCTGCTGCTGGGTGCTTATACTCTCCTGGGCTGAGAGTGTTTTCAGTTGACTGGCTCTTGCCCAGGGAAGATCTTTTCCTTAATAGGGGAAATTCTGCCCCATTGTGAAATGAACAGCATGGAGTTGCATTCACCCTTTGGGTAAAATGGGCCAAGAACAGGAGCTGCTGCTCCTTAGGCAAGTGTCAGAAACCCAGGTACCTGGGATGCATTGAACCACCCGCCCGGCCTGCAGGATTATTGAGAAAGCAGTTTCTGTTTAGCAGAATGGTGGAATGGAGCGCCCTGGGAACTGCAGGCCCGCAACCAAAACCCAAAGGAAGCTGGCGCCCCGGCGCAAGGTAGGCACGCGGGCAGTCACCCGCTTGGGGTGCTGGCTGGACGGCCGACTTGCAAGCCAAAGAATATATACAGAGAGTGATATATTTCTGTTGCTTGGCAAGGCCTTTCTCGCTGGTGGTGATGGTGGTGGGCCCCTGGGTGTCTCCCTGTCCTGGCCATGCCTGTCCTCTGCCCACATCAGGAATCGTGTGTCATATGGAAGTTTGGACTTCACCTGCTTTCACACTGCATTCCTGGGGCTATCCAATGATCTCTTGAAAGCAGAAATGATATCCTTCAGTTTAGACTCTGTTTTGCCCCCTTCACTAGAGTCTTGGCAGAGTTTTAAGAAGTCTACGATTACAAGATAAGATGGGCATCCAGCCTCCCACTGCCTGAGCTGAAGCTGTGATTTCCCATCTTATGAGAAGGAGTGGCTTCCCCCACTCAGAACAGGCTGAGCTCAGCTTCCCTCAGGCCACCCCTCTCCTGCACACAACAGCCAGCAGGTGCAGCGAGTCCTGCTTCAGCTGCCTCCACCTCACAGAGGATGTCTGACCCCTTCATTTAATATACACTCTCCCATGGCTTCCAGGATGGTCTTTCTTTCAAAAACTGCTTTAGCCTTGGTGGCAGGCCTCATAGTGCATGTGTGGGTAGTTAAATAGATATGACAGCATGATTTAATCATATGTTAGACTTCCTGGTGCTTAGATAGCTTTTTTCTTTAAGGACTGAGAAGACATTTTGGACATTTTATCAATCCTCAGGTAATCTACAAATTGACACTCGTTAGAGTATGTCATAGGATCTTGCTGCTTTTACTGACTTGGGTTTAGGTTCAAGGAGATGGAGGAGAATTCTATGATAGATTTGTAATGGACAGTGGAGGGAGGGGAATGGTGTGAGGTAGAAGGTTTCCAGAAATAAGGTGATTTGAAGGCTCTATGGGGACCTTCTACCTGCACGAGGGGGTGCCCATAAGCATGTATAATCTCCAGCATGTTTCAGAATCCTTCTCAGAGATCTTACCTCCCTCCCCAGTTTTTAAGTTCAACTTGTCAGAGAGACTAGCAGGAGTTGGTCGTAGTTATTTCCCTGAGCTTACCTTGTCATATCATTTTTCTTCTTCCATGGGGTTTGTGGTGAGCGAGGAGGGACAAGACAGAGTGGGATTGCCTGAGTCCCTGGCCCAGACGCCTGTTTGAGCCAAAAGCTTTCCGCACCATGTAAGCAACTCTGCCCCTCCAGCTGCAAGTTTCCACTGATGCAGGTCACAGCAGGCAGCCCTGCCCGCCCCTTGTCTAGCGCAGTCTCGAGTCCCAGGCTCAAGGAGGATGGAAAGTGGGGCTGAGTTTCCCTGCAGCTGGACAATGCTGCCCTCCATGATTTCTGCTGCCATGGATTTCTCTGCTTCAAAGGTGGAGATGGGATCATTTAGATGATTTTTGACAATGGACAGACACTGGCTCTCAAGTTAACAATGGGGCTGAAGGCACTCCCCTGTTTTCTGGTCCCAAGCTTTTAAGTATTTACAGTCCATCTCCAATGACAGGTACTTTGGCTTAAACTCCATTCCTTCATGGGAACAACAAAGATCTGTCTGTGTATTTGGATTTCTTACAAATTTGCGTTTATCAAAAATTGAAAAGGTGCTTTTGTTTGGTCTACTTTTGAAAGTTCTAAGAAGCTGAGGTTGCTTAAAAGTAACATGCCAACTTCTGGGACATAGTAGGTACTTAATATTTCTTGAAAGAATAAATGGACAAGGCCAGGCACAGTGGCTCACACCTGCAATGCCAGAACTTTGGGAGGCCGAGGTGGTGGATCACCTGAGGTCAGGAGTTCAAGACCAGCCTGGCCAACATGGCAAAATCTCGTCTCTTCTAAAAATACAAAAATTAGCTGGGTGCAGTGGCATGCTCCTGTAGTCCCAGCTACTCAGGAGGCAGAGGCCGGGAGCAGGAGAATTGCCTGAACCTGAGAGGCAGTGGTCATAGTGAGCCAAGATTGCACTGTTGTATTCTGTGTGTTCTCCACAGCCCATGTATTCTGTGTAGGTTCTTTAAAAAAATATGTCTTTACCCCAGTGGTGATAATAGCCCATTTGCCTCAATATTTGTGAGAAGGGTAGACAGTCTTACTTCGAGTTAGTCACAGGAATGCTTTTTATATCTACCTAACCAAAACCCAACCAAATCCTTCATGTGATAAGTTCTCAGAACTCAAAGACCACGTGACATTTATAAATTATTCTCCTAATGTGCAAAGAAGGAAAAAAAACATTTATTGGCTCCTTTACTCAATACTAATTGCATTTCAGACAAATAAGAAAATTAATTCCAGGGAGTTAGAGCATGGTGATTTATCATATACAAACCTGTTAATGTGATAAATACACTATTTACATTTATGATTTATCATATACAGACCATTATTTCATTTGACCTTCACAACAACCTTGTGGTTAAGCGAGCATTCCTACTTTAGATACAAAGAGACAGGTTCAGTGGGGCTCTGTGATTAGCCCAGGTCCCTTGGACAGTAGCGGGGGCGGGGGCAAAGCTAGGACTCCGGGCAGCATGTTTGACCCCAAGTCCAGCAGGCCTGGTTTTGTCCTCAGCTAAGAGATGACTGTGGGTGTGGTCATCCTTGTGAGGATGCACAGATAGTGCCAAGGCAAGCTTTCCCTATGGCAGTGGCTGCACACTTGGTCATAGGTATTGGTCTGAGCCTTCCTCATCATACTGTTTTTCCCCTTTCCATGGGTTTGTGGTGAGCGAGGAGGGTGAGCCTTCTCAGAGTGGAAGGAGGAAAGCTGGGAGGTGCCAAGGGAGGCATTTCTCCTTCTGCCAGATGGTGAGTGTGTGACCAGACTGTGGCAGAGAGCGAGCCATGCTCTGGGTGTAAAAGCTGCATTGTGAGCACACATGACGATCTGAAAGGGTTAATTCTCCCCGAGGGGCTGACTTGTTTCAGAGAAGGGTCAATAGGCCTGGAGAGCAGTTGGATGCCTTTTCCTCCACTGGGGCTGTGGGAATTGACTCTCCCAGAGCTGTTGTTGACAGTTTCTCTGTGTGATGGGGCAAACCTTTGCTAAGGCCTTCTGGAACTTCTGATGGCCGATCAATGAGGAGTGATTCATGAAGTCGGTCATTTTTCCCATCCGCTGAATGCGAATAGTAAAATGTTTTTGCAAAACCACAATGGGGATTTATCTGGCTTCAAAACGAGACCAGCCCTGCAAAGCAGAGTTGACTTTCCAGTGGATCTGAAAACTGCCGTTTTGACCTCAGCCAAGCAGTGCAGGCCGTGAGCAGCAGAGTCGGCTTTGAGGACCTTCCAGAACACTCTTGAAGCCTGATGAGGACACTTCTCAGGTTTTGATACACTTGACTCTATCCAGCACTTATCTCCTTGCCTTGGGTCTCCAAGTTTAATTTCCTGCTGCGTTATAGCAACCAAAGGGAAAGGAACATAAGCAAAGGCCTCTGAAGTTGTACTTGCGTGGCGAAAGGCTGCAAGGAGCCCAGGTGTCTGGGTCTGCAGTACCCAGTGTGTACCAGCCTTCAGAGCTCGGTATTGACTCAGAACGTGCCTGGACTTCCAAGCATCCTCAGGCTCATACCTCATTTTTTTTTGGTCATATCATTCTTGTGGGACATTAGGGCTGGGGAGACTGGGATGGAGAGAAGGGAATTGCCCTGTCTCAGGTACCTTAGGAAACCAGGGGAAAGCTGAGCTGTTATTTGGGGTGGCCTGACTTCCCCATCCTGGTCAGACCTCGTGGATTGAGGGCCACTTTGAATGAAGGAGGTCTGCACATTGGAGGCGGTGAGTGCAGCAGGGCGGAAGAGGCTCTGAACCCTGTGTGCCTGCCCCAGGCCTTGGTGAGGGATCCTGCTGTCTCTTACTGGTGTTGGTAAGTAACCAGGTGGGATCCACAGAGCAAGGAGGGGTTGTACATTCCCGGTGGGTTTTGTGTTTCATTTCGTTTTCTCTTCTTTGCTCATAATTTGTATCATAGTTGTGACATGAACTTTTTTTCCAAACTAATTTTTTTGGTTTATTTTGTTTCTGTGGCAAAAAACAAACTGTAGGCCTTTCCCAGGTCTCTTCCACAAAGCCCCCTGGACCCACCTCTGCTTTGTCTTGGCTCTTTCTCTGTGTAATGCAACGGCACCGACGGGAAGATCGGTGTTTGGTGTTTGTGTGTGTGTTGGGGGCGAGGTGTGAGGGGAATCATGAAAAACACGAACATTTGGTATTTTCAAATAACCCTTCTCCCGGGCTGTTTTCTCCTGGCAGGATGACAGTGCCGATTTGAAGTGCCAGCTCCAGTTTGCCAAAGAGGAAGCCTTCCTGATGCGCAAAAAGATGGCCAAACTAGGAAAGGAGAAGGATGAGCTGGAGCAAGAGCTCCAGAAGTACAAGTCCCTCTATGGGGATGTGGACAGCCCCCTGCCCACGGGGGAAGCAGGTGGGCCCCCCAGCACCAGGGAGGCTGAGCTGAAGCTGCGGCTGAAGATGGTGGAGGAGGAAGCCAACATCTTAGGCCGGAAAATAGTTGAGCTGGAGGTTGAGAACCGTGGCCTCAAGGCGGAGATGGAGGACATGCGGAGCCAGCAGGAGCGGGAGGGCCCGGGCCGAGACCATGCACCCAGCATTCCTACCTCACCCTTCGGCGACTCCCTGGAGTCCTCCACGGAGCTCCGCCGCCACCTGCAGTTTGTGGAAGAGGAAGCGGAGCTGCTCCGGAGGTCCATCTCCGAGATTGAAGACCACAACCGGCAGCTGACCCACGAGCTCAGCAAGTTCAAGTTTGAGCCTCCCCGGGAGCCAGGCTGGCTTGGGGAGGGTGTGAGTCCTAGTGCTGGGGGTGGGGCCCCCCTGCAGGAGGAGCTGAAGTCGGCCAGGCTGCAGATCAGCGAGCTCAGTGGCAAGGTGCTCAAACTACAGCACGAGAACCACGCGCTGCTGTCCAACATCCAGCGCTGCGACCTGGCCGCCCACCTGGGGGTGCATGCCCCCAGCCCCCGAGACAGTGACGCCGAAAGCGATGCAGGCAAGAAGGAGAGTGATGGGGAGGAGGGCCGCCTGCCCCAGCCCAAGCGGGAAGGGCCTGTTGGTGGGGAGAGTGACTCGGAGGAAATGTTTGAGAAGACATCAGGCTTTGAGAGCGGGAAGCCATCGGAGGCCAGTGAGCCGTGCCCCACGGAGCTCCTAAAGGCCCAGGAGGACTCCGAGTGCCTAGTGACCCTAAAGCATGAGGCCCAGCAGTTGGAGCGGACCATGGAACGCCTCATCACAGACACCGACAGTTTCCTCCACGATGCCGGGCTGCAGGGTGGTGCGCCCTCACCAGGGCCTGGCCTCCAGGGTGAAGAAGATCAGGGCGAGGGGGACCAGCAGGAGCCCCACCTGCTGGGGACCATCAATGCCAAGATGAAGGCTTTCAGAAAGGAGCTGCAGGCCTTCCTGGAGCAGGTGAACCGCATTGGGGATGGCCTGTCCCCCTTGCCCCACCTCACAGAGTCCTCCAGCTTCCTCTCCACTGTGACTTCTGTGTCCCGGGACTCCCCCATCGGGAACCTGGGGAAGGAGCTGGGCCCCGACTTGCAGGTAAGGGGGCTCGTGGCTTCGCCTCCCTGCTCCACCTTGCTCTTCCTCCTTCTCGCTGGCATTGCTGCACTCGGGCTCACGCTGCTCACAGCTGCTTGGTTATGATTTCAAACCTGCATTGTACTAAAGCCTCTGGGGCAACCGGATCCTCTCTCTTGGTTGGGCTCCGTTGTTTTTTTTTAAGTTCTCTTGTATTGCCTTGTTTCTTTTTCCTTTTTCCTGTCTTATTTTTAACTGCACCGCGACTCGTTGTTTAGAGGCCCTTCCAGACACGAGGCTAAGCCCATTGGAAGCAATAGGGCTCGACGCAGGCCGGCCTTGCTCCTCTCTTGGTGTCTCAAACAACCAGCCACCCGCTGAAGAAGCCGTGAGGAGGCTAAGACAAATGTATGTCACAGTCAGGATAATTAGCAGACTCGCTAACGAGCACGTCCCTTCCTGGGTGTGTTTCAAGGGACACAGTGCAGTCCAAGGCCCTAGGCAGCCGAGGCCCCCACTCCCGCTGGAGGACCAGCCAAAGCGGGTGAGGAGCGCGGTGCTGAGAAGGATGGTTTTGGTGGAAAAGCTCTGCTGGCTCCCGCCGCCCTGACGCTGCGGGGGAGGGTGAGGAGGGCCTCCGAGGACTGCTGTCCTAGCCTTGCCTTGGGTGCATGGCCCAGCTGCCGCCCTGGACTGTGGCTTTGGCTGCTCGACCCACAAGTAAGGAAGGAAGAGCCTCGTTTTCGTTTCCTTCGTGGGTAGCGTGCTTGCAGTTGAGTTCTGGATTCATGCATCACCATCGCATGCACCCCGTGACCAGTGTTTTGCACCCCTACTTTCTCTTTTTGCTTTTCAGATGTGTCCACCTGCCCTTTTGCTCATCCTCATCTTGGGTCTGTTCTCTTCACTTTCTTACTCCACTGTCTTTGAGCTGTGTTTCTGTTCATGCCATTCTTTGTCTGGTCATTTTCTCAATTGTCTCCCTTATCCATTGTTGTTTTCTTCATCCCCACTCTCTGCCCCCACCTCCTTGTCCTTTATTTTTTTTTTGTTGTTGTTCAAAATTTTAAAAAACAACAACAAATCCCTCCCGTGCACCTAACAGTCCAGACTGAGAGAGCAGCTGGAGTGGCAGCTCGGGCCGGGCCGAGGGGATGAGCGGGAGAGCCTGCGCCTCCGAGCCGCACGGGAGCTGCACCGCCGAGCAGACGGGGATGCTGGGAGCCACGGGCCAGGAGGCCAGAGCTGCTTCAGCCTGGAGGTCAGCGCAAGCACGCAATCCTCCCACCGTCCCCCTCCTTTTCCTGTGTGGCTGGCTGTGTGATGGTTTCTGCCCCAGGCAAGTCCCTGAGGGAACATGGCAGGAGGAGGTGGAAATGGACAGAACTCATTGGCAGCAAACCCATTGCATGGCACTGGGACAGGGTATGTGCAGGTGCATGCAGGGAACTGCTGTGCTTGCCAGACAGAAGAACAGCTCACTGCAGGCACTGTCCACTCCTGTTCCTGCAGTCCTGGGGCACCTGGAGGTAGGCTCCTTGGTGAGTGCGTAGTGGCTTCTTGTCCAACCACAGAGAAAGAAGGGATGAAAACCCAGCATGGGCTTTCCTGCAATGGAGGAAACTCCTCTTAGGACTCCCCTTTTCAGTTCTTTGTTGCTGGTGTCTCTGTGACTGTCCCATGGTCTCCAGTGACACTGCTGGCTGGTTGGGAGAATCAGGGAGTCTCTCTCCTGACCTGTGGGTACCCTTATCAGTCTCTGTCACCACAGTAACCCCATGTACACAAGGCTCCAGCCACCAGAGGAACATGCATGATTGGAACCATTGTGAGCAGCCTGGAAGAGTGGAAGCTCTTAGACGCAGGCCACCCCACCTGGGAGATAAATGGGGTTCCCGAGGAGTGAACCCTGGCGCTGCCTCTACTGGTCAAGGCAGGTTGTTGGCAGGGCTGGAGCAATATTCTTCACTGAGGACAGCAGCTTCTCTAAGACACTGATGAAGATCCTTAATTTCTTAGTCCACCTGGGGATGTTACCACTTATCTCCAGGGCATGGGAGCAGCTCCCGCAGGGCAGGGGTGAGGGAGAGGTGAGGACCGCAACACTGAGGGGAGACAGAAGCTCACTCAGCAGAAAAGCCAGCTGGATTTGATTAGGAGATGAGCAGAAGCACGAGGGTGGGGCAGGGCCGGCGCTGCTATGACCTGGTCAGGCTGCCTGCTGTGTTGTCAGACAGTTGCCAGAAGGCTGCCACCTTACTCACATGAGTCCCAGTATCTCCCATTTGGGCTTCTCCCCTTCCCTGAGGATGTGTGTCACACCTCTACCCTTGCGATTGGACACACAGCTGCGTGAAAACTGCCTCTAAGAAGCTTAAATGAAAACAAAACAAGTTTTCAGAAACATCCTGTGCAGGCCCACCCTCCTTATGTCACCTGGGCAGAGGTCAGCCCTGCCTGAGAAGGTGGCATCCGGGTCCCTGCCCCAGAGGAGAGTAAATGTGGACCAGACAGGGGTGTGACATGGAGACACTCCACATGCCAAACGGCCACGCTCACATTGGTGCCAACCTCCCAGTAAACAAGCAGAACCTCCGTGAGCTGTGTGGAGCTGCCGTGGCATTCAGGGAGCAGCAGGGTGCCTCAGAGCCCTCCTAGTTAGAAGGCCCAGAATAAGCATTTGTAATGTTTTTAATGTTTTCTTAACACTGTGTTTGGACATCGTGTTAGATATGTATTACAGAACGTCGTTCAGCGTATTCTCATTCCTAAATCACAAGTGAGATGTCCCTAAGTTTTGTACCAAAGTAGAGCAGGACAGGCAGATATTGGGGAACTGCCAGTTTCCCCACAGATGGAGTGATTTAGGACTCCATGGAATGATCACAGGAAGCGCCTTTGTTAGCCCGGACTGCACTCAGGGCCTTCCTCTGAGAATACTGTTGTGTGAGCAGTAGCAAACCACAGTTACACAAATTTCCAGTGGTTGAGTGACCCACCTCCAGGATGGAAACCTCAGAAAGACACATTTCCCAGCTTTCAGCTAACACGGCCCCACAAGTTGTTGCTAGCAGGCGTGTCCTGCCTCACTGGAATTGACCCTGGCCTGGGCATGAGAGACCCTGGGCCCTAGCCTGGCTGTGTTCATTCCCAGCTCAATTTCTCAGGCAAGTCTCTCGGCCTCTGTTTTCTCATCTGTAAAATGGGCATGACAGCATTGCCCTGCCTACCCAATGAGATTACACAGGGGTGATTCAGAGCAAAGGAACTGTTAAATGAGGGAGCACCTTTAAAAGCCCAAATGCCATGTCCATGTAAAGTATGATTTTTTTTTTTTTTTGAGACGGAGTCTTGCTTTTTTGCCAGGCTGGCGTGCAGTGGCATGATCTTGGCTCACTGCAGCCTCTGTCTCCTGGATTCAAGCGATTCCCCTGCCTCAGCCTCCTGAGTAGCTGGGACTACAGGCGCGCGCCACCACGCCTGGCTAATTTTTTGTATTTTAGTAGAGACGGGATTTCACCATGGCCGGGATGGTCTCAGTCTCCTGACCTCATGATCCACCTGCCTCAGCCTCCCAAAGTGCTGGGATTACAGGCGTGAGCCACCGCATCTGGCCTAAAGTGTGATTAATAATAAAGAGAGAGTGCTTTATGCTGCCATTGGGGCTTGCCAAGGGGGAAAGTGTGTCACAGCTTCCCTGCTCAGGGTCCTGGTTTTCACTTCCCATTTGTAGCTCTTCTTTGCTCATTCCGCAGATGGGCTGTTTCCGGAACCACAGCTCTGGAACCACAGCACAGGGTGTCCCTCTTACCTTTGACAGCCGGTTTTACAGGAAATGCATCTCCCCTCCCAAATGTTCATCCTTCAAGGGGTGTCGCACATAGCTGTGTGCAGTTACAGCCTGTATCAGAGAGCTCTCCTCCTCCTGGTTTCTTCTGGGTCCATATTGTGTAACCTGGAGAAGTGATAAGTTGTCACCATCATAAACGCATCACATAGCTTCAGAAACTTGTAGTGATTTGGGAAAGAGAAACATACCTAGTTGAAGAAAACCAAATACTGAGGGACAGTAAAGCTTCACAAGAAGTAGATTAGCAGAGTGAGCTGGTGTCATGTGGTGGCACAGGATCTCCGAACAATACAGCTCAGAAGGGAACAGCAGGTCTTCAGATGAAGTCTCTCATTCCGCAGATGACAAAAATGAGGCCTGAGAAGTGAAGCGGCTCCTCAATAAACCCTCCTCCTGCTTGGTGGCAGAACTGGGTCTAGAAGAGCCTCCAGCCAGCTGCAGCTCCCCACCTCCCCAGCACATCCCCAGAGGGCCTGATCTGTAGCAGCAGGAGAGCTCTGCACTGACCCCTGGGTGGGTTTCTAAAGAGTCACTCTAACTGAAGACTCAATTAAAGACTAATTGAACGGCCGCTGTAGAGCCACTGTCTTGTCATGGAATAGCACCTTTTTTAAACATCTGTCTAGCTTCTTTTAATTTTGTATGTTTTAGCAAGAAAGCTAAAAATCTCCATAGTGAAAGGCCAAGTCTAGGGAGCATCATTTCCTAGAAGGGGAAGCAATGTGAATCAGGAGTTTTAAACATCCCTTGTTCTGATGTTTTTATTCACGAAGACATTTCACATAGAAGAGAAAACTCAATTATGTTGCAAACACATCCTATTTATGTTTTTTTTTTTTAAATAAGGCATGTTCTGGAGCCACTTTGATTCCTCCACAGTGTTTCCTTTTATTAGAGGAGCTGGATATGGATCACTCACAGAACCTGGGTCGGGAGAGGCTGCCCTGTCCCTGGTGTGAATGTCACTCTGACAGCCTTGTTAGTTGGTCTTTGAATATGACATTGTGTTAAAGAATTGTACAATGGACAATTCTGGGGAGCAGAACTCTTAAAAGCTTTTTAATGAGAACATCCCTGAATTCGCTGCCAACAGTTGCTTTCCCATGACACTCTAATGGAAACAGTACACAAATCTCCCCTTCTCTGTCGGGCCAGAGAAGCTGCTGTGTTGAGACTCATCAGACCCCATGGAGTAACTGAGAGAAAGACAAACATGGGCACCTTCATGCAGACTGAGGCAGGGCTGGAGCTGGAGGTCTTGCCAGCAGCTTTCTTTGCTCCCTTTTACATTTCCCTTCAAACCACCACCAATTTTGCCCTCAGGCCAACCACGACTGTATCTGTGTAGCTCTCTGCCGGTAGTTCCTTAAGGGTGTGGGAGGGGGCCCAGTAGCACACTTAGTATCAATGGCATTAAGCAGAAGTTTTTAAAGAGGATCCGTTTCTGACCCTGCACTTACAAAATGCCTCTGTGTCTTTTGCCTTACGGATTTTTATATCTGGGGAAAGGGGAAAGAAGATAAATTATTATTTTGAAAGACTGAGGTATTTTACCCAGACAGAAACTACGACTACTACTTGTAGTACCAGCAGCAGCAGTTATAACAATAAAGAGGAGAAAAAGAAGTACATTCTTACACATGACACATTTTCACAGATTGCAAATCTGGGCAGTGGAGGAGCCCTGCTGCTCAGACATCACCATTCACTAAACCTGGGAAAGGGGTGGCCTCTCCAAGAGGCCACAGCCAGAGCAAACTGAAGTTTGAAGTTTGTGGCAAACAGCCAGAGCCGGAGCAAACTGAAGTCAGAACCCACGGACACCCACTAATGCAGTCAGTGCAGCCACCCAAAAATGATTTGCTAAAAAGTAACAGACTTCAGGATAAGTGTTCCTGCTGTCTGCTCTTCTTAGTGGATGTTAGCAAGATGCTCACACTATGCACTGGACTCTTCCCTGACTTCCCTCCCTGGGGTTCCCATCAAATGTGAGACATTCGCATTTGTTAAGAGAGTGATGCGTAGAATGGTTTGGAATGTGCGAGGCACCGTAAAAATAGTTCTGAATGAGAAATGGCCATGCATGGACACTGGTCAGATTTCAGATATAAAGGAGACCAGGCCTGTGCCTAGAGGATTGAGTGTCTGAGTCAGAAATCTCAAAGAGCTCTTCTCCTTAGTGCCTGCTTTTATCCTTCAATCAAGAAAGCACACAAAGCAGTCGCAATCCCATGTGCCTCAGCTGTGAAATGCCAGCCACAAGGAAGTTACTTGGGGTTTTATGCCAAGTATTTGCACACGTGTTGGCCTCATGTACTGCTTTTGAAGTGAGTGGTTTCAAAACTGCCCAGAACAAAATAGAACCCTCCAGAAAATGAAGTCATGGTCATGGTCATGGTGGTGGAATTGTCCTAATAGAGGAAGTAGCATTGCTAGGCACCCTAGTGACTGTCATGAAAAGCCTTCCTTTTCTGTTTGTGTTTGAGATTGTGAAGTTATTTTCTTAAGTATGGGAAGTAATATATAAGCCACTTTCTTTGGAGCTGGGGAAGTCAGCCTTTGTTAATCCCTGTGCGATGCAGCTCTGTTGGGGAAGACATGGGTGGGAGTTTCAGAACACTGACATGGGAGGATGGTTGCAATGACAAGACTAGTGTCTCAGCAGCCTCGGAGACAAGTGAGGATAGTGTTGGTTTAGATAAGCTGCTTTAATAGGGAGATGAAGATGAATTTGATGTATAATCAGAATCCTAGGTAAGTGAACAAAGAATGGTTTTTAGAACCAAACTTTTGGGGATTGGGTGGCCAAGGGAAATTTTTAGAAGACATTTATGTGTCATGTGAAACTTTTCTCCAAATGTATGTGATCATATGCAGCTGTGTGACAATAGAGTGATTCTAGGCAAAAACTTTTGCCATAGCATGTTTGTATATTGTTTTTTGTAACATTGGAGTGACGTTGGCATCCCGGCTAGGAGCATTGTCCGTGGGAGTTTTAATATTGTGTTAGCAAAAATGGACAATGAAGGAAAATGAAGCTTCTAATACATCAGGAGAATCTAATTGTGTCTGCTATTGACCAGGCAGCAGTCTACAGAGACAATATTGGAGGCACTGTAGGTGGATCCTACTTCCCCAGTAAACAAACTCACAGAACCTCCTTTCCTGTGACCCTTCAAAGGTGTGGTTCAAACAGAAGAGCATGTTTTAAATCCAATGACACTGAATTATGAGCTTCATATATTGTTTCACATAAAAATGGTTTCTGTGGGCCGGGCGCGGTGGCTCACGCCTGTAATCCCAGCACTTTGGGAGGCTGAGGCAGGTGGATCACGAGGTTAATAGATTGAGACCATCCTAGTCAACATGGTGAAACCCTGTCTCTACTAAAAGTACAAAAAATTAGCTGGGCATGGTGGCGTGTGCCTGTAATCCCTGCTACTCGGAAGGTTGAGGCAGGAGAATTGCCTGAACCCAGGAGGCAGAGGTTGCAGTGAGCCGAGATCGCACCATTGCACTCCAGCCTGGGTAACAAGAGCGAAACTCCATCTCAAAAAAAGAAAAAAAAAATGTTTCTTAACATGTGTATTACTTATTAAAATTAAAACCAAACTAAATAGTTTGTGTAACCTATAGAAACTAAACTAATAGAGCTTTGCTTTTCTTAAACAATAAGGTTGATTAGGATGTCTGTTTTTACACCTAATACTACAAAGCTTTTGGCTAGTAGCTAATGCATTAAATAAGGAGGATTTTTTACATTTTAAGTTTATAGAATAATGTGTAGCTGGAAAGTAAAACTGACAGGAGAGCAGCCTCAGTGACCTGGAAATGGTCCTGTGCAGAACACTTGAGATACAGGAGAGCAGGTGTGGCCGCTGTGTTTACCTCTCTATCCCCCATGCCTTAGATGGTGCCTAGCACTGGAGGTGCTCAATAAATATTGAGTAAAACACTGCATAAAATACAAAGTTATCTCTTAAATACATCGCTGAATTCCCAGGAAATTTAGGGAAATCTTCAAGAGTTGGAACTGATTTTAGAATTGAGAACCAGAAGGCTGGGCGCGGTGGCTCATGCCTGTAATCCCAGCACTTTGGTAGGCCAAGGTGGGCGGATTACTTGAGGTCAAGAGTTCTGGACCAATCTGACCAACATGTTGAAACCCTGTCTCTACTAAAAATACAAAAATTAGCTGGTTGTCATGGCAGGCACCTGTAATCCCAGCTGCTCAGGAGGCTAAGGCAGGAGAATCACTAGAGCCTGGGCGATAGAGGTTGCAGTGAGCCTAGATTGCACCACTGCACTCCAGCCTGGGTGACAGAGTGAGACCCTGTCTCAAAACAAAACAAAATAAAAAAAACAATTGAGAGCCAGAGTGGTCTCTGTGGTCCTTAGGTGGGTAGATTAGGGAGATTGTTGCCAGAACTGGTTAAGTGGGAGTCTTGGGTTTCAGAAACTCCAAGGGAACAGGAGATGCGGCCTGAGACCGACACCTGCAGGGAAAGAAAGGAAGCGAAGAAGCCTCTGCCTGCTGGCCGCAGGGAGCTGGAGGCAGTGGGGACACTCGTTTCCCCAGCATGTGCTCTGGGTCAGGAGTAGGAGGGCTAGAGCTGGCCTCACCCAGGGCCAGGCTTTGAATTGATGTTACCAGTTTTGTCCAGGAATCCCAAAGAAAAGGATTATGTTATATTGCTACCTCCAGCAAACACGAAACCAATCTGGAGGCACATTCTCCACCCAGATGCATACTAGATCTATGGATAGTTGCCCCTGGGAGATGAAGTCTCAGTGCAGAACTTCACACAAGCCAAGAATGTCCAGCAGGGACTTGAGTTGGCAGACGTGGCAAATAGCGGGATTCAGCCCTAAGACTGCAGATAATAGAATTATCAGATGAGTGTGTTCACAGTTACTAAAGGCAAGCAAACAGGAGAAGAGTATGTCACCATCATAAAAGACCACACATTTTTTTAAATAACAGAACTTTTAGAAATGAAAAATCAGTCATTGAAACCAATTCAACATGTAGGGAAATGCATCTTTTCAAAGACAACCCCAAACATTGCTTAATATATATAAAAGACTATAATAATCTTGAACAACTAGCAAAGCCAAGAAACATTTAATGCTCTCAGAAGTTCTTGAGTTTTTTGAAAATAGGATGTTTAAATCTCTAGCTTTCAAAATTTTATGCCAAACTTGGCAAATCCCCAGTGTCTGATTTTCTGTCTCTGTTCTTCTTTCTTTCATACCCTTCTCTCATATCCCCAGTGCTGAGGGAAGTGCTCTGCTCTTCTATTTTTTGCATTTTCTGTTCTTGGTTTTCACTCTTGACAACCCAGGTACCATCAGATTAGGAGGAACAGACAGTATCCAAAAGGAGAAGTAGTAGATGAGTTAAAGGGATTCAGAATGAACCAGTGAAAGTTCATGTATTTCATTGCAACAATCCACTCTGATTCCCAGTTTTATAAAACACCTGTCTTCAAGTAGCATGAAGCTGTGGGTAAAATGTCATGCTTAAATTTTGTTGATGCCTGATACTTTTAGCATAACAATGTTTCTATCTCTAAAAAGCATATTTTATTTCAAAAGTAATAACACTGACTCCTCTATCTTAGCATTAGAATATAAAAGGTAGACTTTACTAATAAAAATCATGATACGGATTCCACCACCTCTCTTGAACTTAACGGGTAGTAAGTACATCTTTGTGCGATTCCCCTTAGGCAGCATGTGCAATTGGGAGGCCTGAAGCCATGCATCTCTGCTAATTGATAAAGCCCCACCCCATTGCCCTGAACATCGGGGGTCAGACCGCCTCTATAAAAGAAAGGCACCCTCGGATGAGCAGGAAAAACTCTTAAGAAAGCATATGAAAAAATTGTGCAACTCAGAAAGACCTGATGACTCGGAGAGGGAATCCAAGAGGCTGATGTGATAGGTGGTCATGCCTGCCTTGGTCGTAGTCAGCTCTGACTGCCCGGCATCCAGAAGCCACTGTCCAAGCAAGGACACCTCTGGCATACCTTGGCTTCCTTCTGTCAGCCTGGTTTGTGGTTATGGTGGTGGGTGAAGCTGCCCGCTCCCCTCCTGGGTAAGAGATGCAGGGCAGGTGGAACTGTCACTCCCCAGGTAACATGGGAGCTGTGGAGCCCAGAGGGAAGTCCCAGGGGGGTTGCCACAGTCACTCCACTGCTGCAGCGCCCACATGTGCTGTCTTGCCTTGTGTGTCTCTGGCTTGTGCAGATGTCTGTCCTGCGTCGTCAATTCAGGCAGAGTTCTGATTTCCACTAAACCCCTTCCTTTATCCCACCAATCAGCTCAGGGGCCCCCCTGTTTTACCTGAGCAGAGTGTATCCATAGAGGAGCTACAGGGTCAGCTCATGCAGGTGGCCAGACTGCATCAAGAGGAGACAGAGACATTTACAAACAAGATCCATAAGGTAAATATTTAACATGGATTTCAGCATGACCGCTTCATGAACCATACAGTTCCAAAGGAGAAATGCCACGATGCATTTTCAAAGAAGGCTGTCTGTTGCATACAGGCTGCTAGACTCTTGGGCACCTATGGAGAGGTCACCCAGTCTAGCTGACCCCTTCTCAGACACCCCTAAACATAACTCTACCTTTCTGTTCTGGCACATGCTTTTCAGCATCTATACTGTGGTCTCAGCAAGGTCTTCCTCATGCCAAATCCAAACTTTCCTGCAGCATTACCAGCCTGACATCAAGTAAGGGCCTGAATGCACTGGACAGAAAAGTATGTCTGTCACCTCTGCTGATGTTGGGTGAATTTTCTGATAGGAAAATCAGAAACTCACCCTAAACCGTTGTCTTAAAAAAAAAAAACAACTGTCACAACTTGAGCTGTGGCCTGATTAACCTCTGTTATTCTGGAATAACTTGGTATTGGCTAATTTTATCTGCCAAATCCTTCCCCAGAGTTCCAGGTAGAAGGGATTCACAGAGGTGGGCACTCATTGCCCTGGATATGCCTGAGAATGGCCCAGTCCCTGCCACCCAGAATCTAATTAAGTTGTGAAAAGATCTAGGTTCAGAATTGCTGCAGCTGCCCTTCCCCTTTGTATTTGTTCTTGAAAGATAGCTGTGTCTTTAAAACCAAACAACGCAAAGCAGTCGATCTTGAATAGAGCACCTTGGTGTTTTAATATGTATATCCTGTGCAAATAAGGTCTTGGTGTATCTAAGAACTCATTTTGGCGAGGAATGTGTGCTACACATAAGCCCCTATGTTGACTGAGGTCATGTGATTTAAATGGGTCACAAACTGATTAAGGGAATGAGCGCCTTCTCTGCACCTTGCAGCTTAGGAAAGGCAGGGCTAAATGCCAAGATTTAAATACTTTCTGCCAACTTCTACCATTAGATGCATGACTTGTTTTAAATGTTTCCTTTATAGGTCAAGTTGCACATCTCATTGTCAGAGGAAAATAATTTCATATTCCTTGAAAGATAAATTACTAAGTAATCAAAAAGAACTTTTTGCATTGTACCAAAAATAGTTTAAAAAGTGAGTTTATTGCTGAAGATGCTACTAGCACAATGTCCGGGGCCCATGTGTTTCTGGTATGTGAGTTGATGATGAGGGAGGATTGCAGAAGAGGCCTTGGATGGTAGGAGATGCCCTCTAGGAAGGGAAAGTGCCCCCCTAAGGTACCCAGAGGGCAGATGATTGAACACTGAGACTTGGGAAGTACATGGAGCCATGGAACAGAAGGAGTTGGAAAGGGCAGAAGTGAGGGAGAGAAAGGAAGGCTCTCCAGGAGGACCTGGGCACAGTGCTGCAGATGCTGCCTCCCGTGGTGCACGTCCCTGCCTCTCCACAGCCAGGCAGGAAAGCAGCTCACGTTAACTTCACATTGCCCCTGAGGCCAGTGAAGCTTGCCCAGCACAAGTCAGTAAAATAATAAAACAAAAATGAAGAAAAAAAGAAAATTACAGGACCCTCTAAATTGATTATATCAAGGGTGAGGTTAAGTCATGGAACATGTTTTGTTTCTTAGATTATAGATGAACACTCTTCCTCATTGTTCTTGTTTGGTAACGACTAAGAGACCAGAGACCAGATCTCCCTTCTTTTTAATTACTGATCTTTGTTACAGATTAACTGCCTCTTTTATTGTCATGTACCTAACTCAAACCAGATGGTGCAAAAGATCCCATGACTGTTACATCTTCAGTGTGAAATGTTAAATACACTTCCCCCACCCACCATTAAAAAAGACCACCTTCACTGATCAATAGGAAATTGCAGATGCTGTATGTCTGGTGCTCTAGGCCGCCCTTGTGTTCGCAGGGAAGAACCAATGGTGGAATGCTGAGGGCTGCTAAGATGGTGAATAAAATCGCCTGTTTGCTGTTATTTCAGTCAAAAGTACAGTAAAGGTCAGGTATTGGGAGAGCAGCCACAGAAGTCGCTGTCTAGACCTGTGGATCTTTCCAGAGCTGCTTCTGACTCTTCACTGGCCTTTAGCTCATTGGCCTCGGGCAGCTGTGGTTCTATTCCCAGGGCCTCTGAGAATTAATTTAGTACTTTAAGGAGAAAAACATATCCCTGCCTTAGTTCTTGGCATAAGAGGGAGTGTTAAGAGAAGACAGTTGATAACCTTCAGGCTGGCATTCCAGCCCTTTATTGTTCTATGGAATACAAAGCGTGTATCCCATAATGTCATTTCAGCTACTATAAATATTATTTATAGATATTATTCTTTTGCCCTTATGTGCAAAGTGATATTTTATTCACTCTTTTGCTTTTTAGTATTGATACATGATAATTGTTTGTTGCTTGGAAGACTGTTTATGGGGGGGTGTGTTTAAAAAACAGGAACTTAATGTGGAGATGCAAGATATTTCTTTTCCTAAGAGATATACACATCTAATACGAACATCAAGTCTCTAAGCATGGAAATAGGTTGTCAGACTCACTTTGCTGTTTCCTCACCATTGTATGCAGTTGAGGCCTGAGTACTTGGAAGAATTCCTTCCGCCCAGCCTGCTGTGCTCTCCACCATCTGGGGCTCTCTTCTGTCAGGGGCTGTTGGGAGTCACGGGGCTCAGGAAGTAGAGGGGAACGATTTCCACTTCTTTTCTTCTTTACAATTGTAATGTGCCTTTGAGTGCCCAGCCCACGTGCAGAGGGGACATGGAATCTGCTTACATGAGATTCATGTCAGTGGTAAGCCATACTTCCAAGACACAGTTTTCCTGAAGGAGTTTAGAGACATCTGAAACATCAATAACTTTCCTATATACGAGCAAATATAACAGAAGTAACCATGAGAGACTTAATAATGAAAAATGATCATAATACCTTACTTTGAAATAGCACTTGTTTCTGAATCATTAGACTCATGGGGTTTTGTAAACAGGAAACGTCTGAAGCCCTTAAAGTAACCTTCTGGGGCTCCTGTGTTTCACATCTTATATGCAGCATGACAGAGACTGAGTGGCAGTTTGCAGGGACTCTTGGTTTGGGTGGCAATTTGGATTAGCCACTTGTCATACTATCTCTTTTGTTCCATTCAAGATGGAGGAGGAGCACCTCTATGCCTTGAGATGGAAAGAAGTGGAAATGCACAGCCTGGCTTTGCAAAACACCCTCCATGAGCGAACCTGGAGTGATGAGAAGAATCTGATGCAGCAGGAGCTCCGGTCCTTGAAGCAGAACATTTTCCTCTTCTACGTCAAACTCAGGTGGCTGCTGAAACACTGGCGACAAGGGAAGCAGATGGAGGAGGAAGGAGAGGAGTTCACTGAGGTAACTCCGCTTTAGAGTTCCTTTTATTTGCATCTTTTTTGTTCTTGACCCCCAGACACTGCTGTCTCCTCACCCACCCTACACACAGTCATGTTCTATTATTTTATTTTTCAGTATTTGATTGACATCTAATATTGCTACCAAAAAAGGTTTAGAGCAATTCATACAGACACATAGATAAGAGAAAATTGAACATAGGTGACTGAAACATCAATAACTTTCCTATATACTAGCAAATATAACAGAAGTAACATTACAATAGCAAGAGCAGATATGCTAGGCATAAACTTACTTAGAATAGTGCAGGAACTAAATGAGGAAAATCACAGACTTCCCTACGAAACCTGCATGATGTTCATAAGTGAGGGATGGGCAGAGGCAGGTGCTTTGGTTGCCTACTCAATGTCTACTCTCTCTTTTTTCATTTGTACATGTTCATGGAATACAAGTGAAGTTTTGCCACATTAATATTTTGCATTGTGGTGAAGTCATTATTATTTTAAATTATTTTGTCAATTTTGGTCCAAGAAATGGAAATGTAGCAGCTTGTTCAGTTATATATGAAACCACGAATTCTGTGCTATGCGCTTACCTAGTTTTAAGAGTGTTCTGGTCCATAACTCCATGCTATAGCAAAGTTTCACTCCCATCTCCTTTGCTGCTCATTTATAAATTCATTGAGGTTATCACTCTGATGTCCTGCACCATCTCATTCAAGCTGGTTTGTAAATGCTGGTTTCTAAAACGTTTGCTCTTTTTTTATTTGAGTTTTGTTCCTAGATGTGAAAGCCTGTCCTGCCCACACAGTTTTAAAAGGATCTTTTCTAAGCTTCAGATGAGTCACTTTGCCACCTCTAAAATTTGTATATGTTCTTCCTGTTATACCTCCCAGGTTTATAATAGCAACAGAACAGAGATCTTTGCCTTCTGATTGCTTTTGTATTGATTAAGTCAGAGTGGCCGTTTGTGCTGCAGGCTCCTTCCTGGGCTTGCTTCCTGGCATGCTTGGGGCTGGAGCCGCTGGTGTTCTGTGTATTCTGAACATCCACGACCCTGGCTCCTTGGCCAGCTGCTTCGAGGCATTGTGAATTGTTGGTTTCTTTTTAGCTCCCAAAGACCTTTTGTCTGCTTTTCACTCTAGGGAACAGTGTATGTAAATTTAAGGTCTCATCCTCAGAATGGGAAAATACAGTGATCTCTTTCTTCAGGGTGAGGAAAGTCTTCAAAAACTAATTCCGACAGCTTCCACCTATCCATGACATAGAAAATCATTATTAAGCAAAACCTAGAAATCGTTGTAAAGTTTCCTGTTAATCAGTACTCTGGAATTCCTCCTCCTTTAACTTAAAAACCATAGCTATAAGCAATACTAATTTATAAGTAGTAGAATTGAAATTTCTCTTTAACATCTTTTAGTAAGTTAAGCACCTGCTCTGTGCTATTTAAATGCAGCAAGTACCAATGAGTGAAATGGCCAAAATGAGCATTTTAGGGGTAATGACTGAGAAATATAGGCCTTGATAATCCATAAAGGGGATTATTATCTTCAAACAATGAAAATCAGGCTGTATAGCGAAAGGATTTGGCTGCGGCTGTGATCGTCACCTCCTGCCTGTTTCAGGGTGAGCATCTGGAGACCCTCCCCAGACTCGGGGAGCTTGAATTCCAGGCGGGTCACCAGGTGGATGGCCCAGACCGTGACGACGGTGACCGAGGCTGTGGCTTTCCGGTGGGGGAGCACCCCCAACACTCTCGGCTGCAGATTGGAGATCACAGCTTGCGACTGCAGACTGCAGAGAGGGGACAGCCCCACAAGCAGGTGAGTGCCTTGATCCAAGCCCATCGCCCTGCCTACACCAGAGAGAAGAGACTCCTAAGCCACATTTGTGTCATTTTGTTTCAAACATTGGTCTTCAGGTAGCAGAAAATTCCTCTGCCTGACTGCAGCCATTTGTCATTTGTGATGCTGGGTTTTTGCTAGAAATCTCCTCATCAAGCCATTCATTTTAATGTCAGCCCACTCTTTCATTTGAGTTTTCATTTACCCATATAAATAAGGACCATAGTAAGGGTGGATCAATGGTGTGTGTCCCTGTTGGGGCCAGTGAATATACCTCAGAGGCCCTGTCACTGGCAACATCATTCATTTGGCAGCATAATATATAAGGAGAAAAGGACAAGTTTAAAAAAAAAAATCCCCCAATGTGGACGAAATATTTCAAGTTCTCTTTGGCCCACTTGAAACATAGTGTGCTCCAAATAAAAGTATTTAATGACACTTTGAAAATTTTAAAGTATATATAGAGGTGAGACTTCAGTGTTATTAAGTAGCTGTTATTGTTGCCATAGACCACAGAAATAGAATCTACTTAATAAAGCAAAAGATACTACTGATAACATCCAAACTGCTTGCATTTTTATACCAAATGGCAGTGATGGAGGATTTGGAGTAAGGAGCTCCTGAGCAGGACCCTATGTTAGTGCTCTCTCGCCCCCAGGCTTCTGAGTCCCCTCTAACCCGACTCAATTATTTATTAATAATAATAACCCTTCTCAGGAGGCTCCTAGAGTGAAGCTGGATACCTCTGGCCCAGGAGGCCTGCGTTCTGGGCTGAGGGTGCAGGGCCAGGTGGACACGGGGCACGGCAGTCATGTGGGTGTGGCTCCAACCTCTCAGCCCTAGACACTCTGGGGCACTCCCTCCGTGCTGGACGCCACAGCTGCTGCTCCTCCCTGGCCCAGGCTCCCTGGGCCTGGAGCTGCTGTATCTTATGGGAGCGGGCTGTCATCAGAGTGCTGGCTCGGATCCAGATGAAGACAGGCGGCGAGCTTCTGAGTGCAGGCTGAAGGGAATTTGGGCTCCCCCTACTCCCTCTCTATACAATCAGATTTTCACACCTAAACAGCTGTTGGCTATGTACACCGGTCCACCCTTCATTCTCCGTGAATAACGTGACTCAAGAAGGAGATGATTCTTTCAAAGGAACTTTTACTCACAGCCGTTAGAAAGTACATGATTCTGCCAGCGTCCATGGGGAGAATTTAGGTCATGGAATGAGTTTTCCAGCAATAATCTAGTTAGAAATGAAAATACAACTTTGCAAATAATGCTTTAAAATCTACTAATTTTACTTTTTTAAAAGAAATGTTATCATTCAATCTCATAAATCATCTGTGCTTACCTCACACAATATTGCCACTGATGGCCACAGTTGCCACCTCACCACAAACCTGCTGCATCTAAGAAAATGTACTTCCCACACATGTATGCAGATGCTCTGGGCAAGGAGAAAACCTCGCACATCTGGTTTTCTAAACAACAGTCGTTACTCTCAGAGTGGAAAATAATGTGGAGTCACTCAGCTGGAACCTCACATTCAGCATATTTTAATGTCATTTCCCTTTGCCGCCTGCTTCTTCCAACACTAGTTTTTAGCGATTACCCTTGAAAGTAGAGATGGACCTCTGAGCTTCCACTGTGGCCCGCATGTGGTAGAAGTGTGTGGATGGGTGGTGGGGTGGAGTCCAGACACTCAGACTCAGGTGTGCCGAATGGGCTGGTGTCCACAGTAGTGAAAGGAACACGGCGTGCACAATACTCTATCTGCCCCAGGACGGAAGATCAGTGAGCTCTACTGTAATGACAGCTGGTTCTCTGGGGGGAACATTCCCAGTTAGAGGATTTGCCTTTCTCTGACTGGCATGAGTATTAGCCAGGCAGCTGGGATGCAAGAGCCAGGGCACATGTCTCACGGAGTGGCACAGAGCCAGGCTGTTCCAGAAACCCTGAACACCTCGCAAGGTGCTTAGTAGCATGGGAAACGTGGCCAAACCGCTTTCTGAATAACAGGTTCTCAGTTACAGTATTCCTCAGGCCTCCGTCTTTGCTTTGTGACATATGAAACATTCTCACAACTGAACTCAAGTAGTTGGCAACATTTATCATGTCCACAGAGTTTTTTTTAAAAAAATGCATATACTCATCAACCTTGGATGGCTCATAACAAATCATCAGGTTGGCAAATATTTGGCTCCGTAGATGTTCCCTGTTTCCCAGTCTTCAGCTACATGAGCTCACAGTCATGACCTGGTTGCCCTAGAGCCACAGTGAGTGCTTTCAGTTTCCCCAGCCGTCCGGAAGAGCAGAGGCCGTGCACACCTAAGAGCTAATCGTATAGTTCTTCTTGAGCTCCAGGACTCTCGCCACTGTGTTAAGCATTTGAGGCCAGCATTCCTAGGCTGTTTATGCATTTCATACTGATTAGTAATTCCTGGAATCCAGCTTCTTCACACAAGGTGATTAATGGTGCGGGAATGATGATCCTGGGGCGCCAACAGCTCGTTTTCCCTGCTTGGATTAACTTAAAAAGAAGTTACTTTTTCATTCAGGGATGTGACCTAATTCTCTTTATTATTTGATAAAACAGCTATGTAAAAAAAAAGTGTGTAGAACCTAATATAAAATTCATAGGAAGAACTGAAGGAATTATATTTCATATTTAAGACTTCACCTGCTACAGTCACTGAGGAGACTCACTCAGTCCAGCCTCAGGACTGAGGAGACTCCACTTCCCTGAACCTCTGCTCCTTGTCTGGCTCATGAGCTGCATTAGGGCCTTCAGGGGAGTCAGGCTTTCTCCTGCAGACAGAGCCCTTGGCTTCCTGGGCCTCCGGGGCCTTGGCTCTCCTAGACCCCGGCAGTCTTCCTTTCTGGCCATGCAGGCTGCCTACCTTTGCTTTGCCCAACATACAGAAACTTCCAAAAAGAACACCCTTGTCAGAGGAGGCCTCACATCAGAACTGTGAACTACCTTTTTTTTTTTTTTAATAAGAAAGTTCTCTTGAGCCTAGATGGCATTTACATTTCAATTTTGTATGTCATACTGTGGTTTATTCTTCAGTTTATCCTGCAACTGGGAGGCCTCCTTTAGGAGGTGTGCTACTCTTTCTGTAAAAGGAACCAGACCAGAGCTTAGGATCGTGAAGCGTTTTATCTTTGCTCTATGGTGTCAGTTGCTCTGTCACTCTGAAAGGAGCTTCTATGTGAAGTAAAAATTCACATGTACAGATGGGTGCTTGGACTCTCCCTGCCCCGTCCTACCTCCCAGAGTTAACCACAGCCACATAGGCCTTCCAAAGTGCATAACTAAGCTTGGAACCTCACAAATAAGTGTCTTCCCTAACGGCCTCCTGATTTTCATCAGATTTGCCCTGGTTTCCTAAGCCTTTGGGCTGATAACTGTGTGTATGGCTCATGAAATATGTGCCTTATTTATTCTTTCCTGGACCCACATTCATTCTTGGGAAATGCTCAGTGACAATTATGGAGACCACAGCCAGGAGCCCTCCTGGACAGGATCAGCAGGCAGACTCTTGGCCAGAGGGCAGAGGACTTCTGTGTGTACATGACTCTAATTCCCATGATATTAATAGGTTGTATTTTCAGGGTCTGTCTTCAGCGACCCATTCTCTTTTATCTGTAGGAGATAATGGTTTTTAGAAAAGAACCTATCTGGATGTAACAATGAAGGTTACATTGACAAGAATGACAAATGCCTTGTTTATAAAAGCTGGCAGTAAAGAATTTGGGGGATGCCTGCTGGTGGAGGAGTTGCCTGTTGATTGCTGAGTGAGGTCTCAAATAAGAGCTACATGTGCCTTGTTGAGGTCTGGGCAGCTACTGTATCATTCTGGAATTCCCTTGCCTCTGTCAAGAAGCCTAAACAAACAGGATTGGATACCATTGCCTCTATTTTGTGACTGGTGTTTTGTGGGTTAACCCATAGAAGCGGGTCAATATGTCTGTTCCAGCTTTCGATTATGCCTGTCTCCAAAATTAGTGGCTCTGATGCAAGCAAAGTAGTTGGTAGTGGTTTAGCCTTTTGTGGAGCTGTGATTTCACCTAATGAAATCTTAGAAATCTTAGGCAAGAACAATTTGGAAAAATAGCTGGCATTGCGTCACAAAGACCTTGATACATTACCTCATTTACAAACTTCCATTTCACTTTCTACTAATAATATTCATTAGTAGAAAATAATTATTGGATATTAGACTTAGATAGATAGTAGACTTGGATAGCAGTCTGATGGACCGAAGACCAATTCTGAACCTGTTAAAAAGTTTGACATATAGCACATTGTAAGTCTCACTCAAGAGAGCTGAGCTAGGGGAGGCTGTAATGCCCCTAGGTGGAGGAGAGGGAAATCGTTGGAGGCTTTTTATCCTGCAGCTTTGCTAGAAAATCAGCCAGCTGATCTCTGAAAAGCCAGATTTTTTCGTTGAAACTGACCTACATTCAACAAATGTACAAGCTAAAAGTTTGCATGGCTAGGCCCCAGCACAAAAGATTCAGAAAGCCTCATGTCCAAGAAGACTTGCATCATAAAGATGTCTAAATGGACCAGAGTCTTAATTTGATTCTTGACTTGATTTGGGTCATCTTTTTACCCAAAAGGTAGCCCAGCAAGGGGTACCTCCAGGGGGAAAAATAAGAGAAGTTAACTTTTAGATATTCTCTCAGGATGACTCACTACAATTATTTCCCTTGATATGGGAAATGGAATTCGTTTCATGGGGATTAGATGGCTTCTGCAAGGTAAAATTGAAGAAGAAAAAGAAGAAGGCTTGGCAAGGTATAATGTCAGAATTCAAATATTTCTGGCTTGGTTTGTTGGCCTTGGAATGGGACGACCTGGACTGCAGTCCAGGAGCTCACTTCCTTGACAGTGCGACCTTGGCTCTCAGCCACTCCAAGCCATAGTTCCTCCTCTGTAAAATGGGGAACATAGCATATGTACTCAAGATTGATGTGACATATAAACAAGGTCATGTTGGTGAATAATTTAGTATACCCCTGGCCATAGGAAAACCTACACTATTAGTAATTATTGTCACTGGTTTTTTGCATGTGTGTGAAAGTCATTAGTAAAATAATGCCCATCTGGCTCATTCTGAGTCTTCAGAAATGTTGACATGGACATCCACTTTTGCTGTTGTGCACTAATGGCAGGAGCTGGCCTGGTTTCCTGCTGTGCCACATGCTGCTCTTGGGAAATGATGATGACAGGTACCAATAGCATTGAGCTGGGCTCTCTTGCTCCCTTTGGCTGCCTTCACCCCAAAGCAATTCTGGGCTCATTCCATGCTGATTTATATTATCCTGGTTTACTAGAGCACTACTTTGATTACTCTGACACAAATGTGCATAAATCATTAAGGCTTAAATTTTATTGAATTCAATATCTGTTAAAGCCAAAAACTACTTGCTTCCAGAGAAACCAAGATTCCAATTTGCAAGAGGACTGTAAGATTCTGATTCTAATGTTGTGTGGTGTATGGGCTAAGAATAGCATAGGCTGATACCAAATGTAACTTGGTATTCATAGAAAACTATTGATTACATATAGGAATGTATTATATTGTTTTCTGCTTTCTCTTCAGTGAAAATCAAATGACTACTCCAAAGATTGGATCAAAATTGTTACCACTATTTTCTGCTTGAAATACTCTTGACTCAAAAAGCAGTGATTTTTAATTTAAAACCCAAAGATGAAACTCTCAAATCTCCCATAAAATATATGTGATTAATCAGCAAACAAATTCTATATGAAGACGTATATTTCTAAAAAGATTGTTGTGACACCTCTTATCACTCAACTGCACTTATATCATTTTTAGATTTTTTTTTTTTTTTTGAAACTAGGTTTTGCTCTGTCACCTAGACTGGAGTGCAGTACTGTGATCATAGCTCACCATAACCTTGAACTGCTGGGCTCAAGCAATCCTCTCATTTCAGCCTCCTGAGTAGTTGGGACTACAGGCAAAAGCCACAATGCCCAGCTAATTTTTAGATATTTTTTATGTGGAGTTTTAAAAACTATTCTGTGTTTGTTACAGCTTCACATATTTGGTGAGCATCTCTTTGAGTATAGTAGTAATTTATTTCTATTCAGATGGTTGGTAAGAATGTGTAAGACTCATAGATGGTTCCCTATCTGCTGAGTTCTTCAAATGTTAACTGAATTGTACTCTTAGTGCCTTTTATCCCCAAAGTGAAAATTGTACCCTGTGAGAAAAATCAAAGAGCAATAAATAGGAACAAACAGGCCTTTCTACTCCATCGTAGCTGGGCACAGTGGCTCATGCCTATAATCCCAACATTTTCTGAGGCTGAGGCAGGTGGATCACTTGAGGCCAGAGTTTGAGTCCAGCCTGGGCAACATGATGAAACCTCGTCTCTACAAAAAATACAAAAGTTAGCTGGACATGGTGGCACACGCCTATCATGCCAGCTACTTGAGAGGCTGAGGTGGAAGGACTGCTTAAGCCTAGGAGGTTGAGGCTGCAGTGAGCTGTGATCATGCCACTGCATTCTAGCCTGGGTGACAGAACAAGACCTTGTCTCGAACAAAAAAAACTCCACTGTGTTAATAGTATAACTTCTTGATTAATGCTGGGGACAACTATGGCTATCTCTATAATAAATCTGCTCATATTAAAGAATTTCTCTTTTTTAACATAACTTTATTTAAAAATATGTGTGTATATATGTATATATGTATTATTTTAGGTTCGGGGGTACATGTGCCAGTTTATTATATGGGTATATTGCATGATGCTGAGGTGTGGGCTTCTAATGATTCCTGTCACCTAAGTAGTGAACATAGTACCAAATAGGTAGTTTTTCAACCTTTGCCACTCTTCCCCATCCCCTTTTGGAATCCCCAGTGTCTACTGTTCCCACCTCTGTGTCCAAGTATACCCAATGTTTGGTTCCCACATATAAGTGAGAACATGCGGTATTTGGTTTTATGTTCCTGTGTTAGTTTGCTTAGGATAATGGCCTCCAGCCGCATCCATATTGCTGCAAAAGCCATGACTTCATTCTTTTTTGTGGCTGCACAATTTTATTTGAACACAAACATACATCCAAAGTATCTTAAATCCTTCCCATATATGTTGAATCATTTTTGTGTATGTTTAGTGGATCAAGTAGATGGTTTTAAAAGCATGACTACAGAGTGAAGGCCAGTGTATGTGCAGAATCTGAAGGAGGGGTCCCCAGTGAACTTGCTGACCCACGCAGGAGAGGTTTATCAAGTTTGGGGGATGAGGAATTCTGAGAGGGTAAGGCTCTGTTTTTCCATGGCAGAGCTTATCTACATCCAGTGGGACTTAGAGATCTTTTATAACTCCTGCTTCATAATACATCAAAAAAGAATGCACTGAGACCACCCTGAGAGCTTGTGATGTACTTTTAGTGCTGATTGGAAGAGACAGGTTCACAACACTTTTATTATCAAGGTACCATAAATTGATTCAGCATGTTTCATTCATTTGGCCAAACCTTTCTGATATAATGCCCTTGCTGAAATGTACTAAGATAGAAATCATGGCTTTAAAATTTGACTTCAAAGGGCTGGGCAGGTTTTAGAACATAGAAACTATTTTAAGTTAGGCATAAGCATATTAGTAATAAAAATTCACTCTTCGTTTATCAGACACATTTGGATGCTTGACATGAGCCAAAGATTGTGCCAAATACTGGAAATGTGAGGGTGGGTCTGGCTTGTCCCTTTCCGAGGGGCAGAAAAGTGGGGACTGGTAGTTCCACCTCAAGGGACCACAATAAAGCCTTTATGAACAGGTTATGCATTTCACCTTTGGCTTTAATTATTAAACATCAAAATATTTAATAATTAAATCCACCCACCCACAATGGCCATGTGTGTCATATATATGACCTTTTAGTAGCTGCAAGTCGGAGTCTGACCACCCTATGAGCATAGGAGTTGTAGGCCTTTATTAATTCTCCTCTAGTACAACAGCTGGCACTAGAGTGACAGCATATTTGTAGGTGAGTGTAGACGTCTTGTCATGTCTGCACCCTCATGACAGTCTTCTTAGCCCAATTCTGTGTTCTAGACATCTAAAGTCACACAGTGACTGGCAGTCCTGGCCTCAGGGTTCCCTGTGGTCTCCTGCAGTCTCCTTGGGGCCCAGAGCACCTCTGCAGCAGGTTCCCACAGCGCCAGCCCAGGTTCCAGCCTCTGAACATAGCTGCCAGGTTGCCAGGACAGCCTTCCTTCCACCTTCGTCCTGATCAAACTGGCCCTCAGTCTCAGGCCCAGGAGACCCATGGCCAGCAACAGGGACCCCTGGCTCCCCAACTAACGGCAGACTCCCCACCCACCCTGTACCCACTGCCAACAGCACCTGGGAAACAGCCCCCACACTACCTTGATGGTCAGATCCTCTCCTCTTCTGACCTAAAAACTACGCTTAAAGGAGGTGGTGGAGCCTAACTCAGTGTTCCCACAGGTGGTGGAAAACCAGCAGCTGTTCAGTGCCTTCAAGGCCTTGCTGGAGGACTTCCGCGCGGAGCTGCGGGAGGACGAGCATGCCCGACTGCGGCTGCAGCAGCAATATGCCAACGACAAGGCAGCCTGGGATGTGGAGTGGGCCGTGCTCAAGTGCCGCCTGGAACAGGTACCACCCTGCCGGGTCTTTCTCAATCCTGACCATGTGTCTCTACTGTCCAGGATATGTGGGGGGTGGGGGGCACAGAGAGATTCAGAACCATGGGCTCCTTGAACAGGAAAAATGAGAGGAGTGGCGCTTATGCGTCTTCTTGAAGTGCAGAGGCCCCATTTTCCCTGATGTTCCCTCTCCCAAGTATGCAGTACGGCCTCCACCACGCAGCAGTTTCAGAGCAGCATGTATTCTCCATTCTGCATTAAACAAGCTTGTATTTAGCTCCATCAGAGGATGGCCAGGCTGAAACTGTCATCACACTGAGCTGACATAACTCTAGACAGGAGCAAAGCAAAAGGAGATTGTGGTTTAGTTGTCTCTGAAAAAGGTAAATGCATCCTTTCAGTGAGATTTTTCAAAATATCAATAAGAACTTGGAGATGTTCCATTGCATGCCCAAGAATTCTGATCAATTTCAGTCTCCTTATTTATATCAAAGGAAACTGAGGCCCAGAAGAAACAGCTCATCTGAGATCACAGAGCCATTTAGTGCTAGGGCAGGAAGAAAGCCTAGGTTCCCTGCCTCTACCACACACCACAGAGGGAGGCCCCTTCTGAGATGTTACACCACAGCCACAGGAGTTAAGATCAGACATGACAAAGAACATCCTTTCCTAAGGGTTTCTTCCTTGGAAACCATTGAAAGTCATGTGACTTCCTACACAGCGTCTGCTGCTGAGAGTGTCTCTCAAGGTTTCTTCCAGCCCCTTGATCATGAAGAGGGAGGGAAGATCTGTGTATTGTTGGTAATCTATTTCCAGGGCTCTATTTTGAGGCAAACCATAAAGTAAGTAAAATTTTATAGGACTTGGCCTGGTCATGAAAGGAAAAAAATTGCCTGGAAAGGAGACCCCTGTCACATGGTCTTGATAAAAGATGAAAAGGGCTTGATGTGTTGAAAAAAAAAAAAAATTCCATCTCCCTGGTACCCACAAATCCCCATTCACTTCCACCTGGCCCCAGCAAGCAGTGGTGTTGGGCTGACAGCCCTGGGCAGGGCAGGGGCATGGGCACAGCCTTCCAGGCTTGGGCATCAAATGAGGGAGCAGCTTGCCTGGTTGTGGCTCCTGCCTGCTGCCTGCAGGGGATTTGACCTAGATGTTCTGCTTATCTTAGTCCCCAACCTGCAGCATCAGCAGTGGTGGAGAAATGACTAAGGACATTCTCTGATGAGCTGCCTTTAAACCTATTAAAAAATATGTTTATGGGGGGTGCTAAAGGTTTTCAAAGCCCAAACTGTAGTTAAAGAAGGGAGGTCTAATCTTCGATGCAAGCCAGTTTCAAAATATTTCATCTTTGTTTTATAGGAACGTAGTATCCACCCACAGGTTTGCTACAAATAAACCCTCAGGGAGAGTCCCTAAATACCAAAAAATAAAGCTAGAACTTCAAACCCAAAAGCCAAGTGGTAATAGGTAAAGAGTTTATATCTGCCCAGATTATTTAGGAAGTTTCTTAAACATTTGTAGCCCACGAAGCAATGAATGAATATGGGATGATGCTAATCTATTTGTAATAATCCCATATTTACCCTCTTCTACTTAAATACAAAACAGTTTAATTCTGCTGCAAGTTAACACCTTCTTTCATTGGAGCCCACGCTGATGACACTTCACAAGTCCATGATTCTTTCAGCAGACTCCTAAGTCAGACCTTGTTCTAAATGTTGAAGATCCAGCAGCAAATCAGATGTTCCTTGAAGGGATTCTCAGTGCAGTGGGGGGACCCAGACAAGTGCTATTATAACAGCATGGAAAGTGCCCCATGAGGTTTGCACATAGGACTCTCAGGACAGGAGCATACCTTGGCTTGAGAATTCAGGGAAGGCTGTGAAAGTCCTGTTGAGAAAAATCTCAAAGGGTGGATAAGAACTGGTATCTGGAAAAGGAGAGAAAGGAACTTTCAGGCAAAAAGAGAGTATAATGAAGAAAGAAGCATGGCTCATTTAAGAAGCTTAGGTATGAGAGGAAAGAAAAGTATTTAAGGAATTGATACTTCAATCCTGATTTTATTGTGAAAGTTTAGATTCCCTTTTTCTTTTTTTTTTTTTTTGAGACGGAGTTTCGCTCTTGTTACCCAGGCTAGAGTGCAATGGCGTGATCTCGGCTCACCGCAACCTCCACCTCCTGGGTTCAGGCAATTCTCCTGCCTCAGCCTCCTGAGTAGCTGGGATTACAGGCACACACCACTGTGCCCAGCTAATTTTTTTTGTATTTTTAGTAGAGATAGGATTTCATCATGTTGGCCAGGATGGTCTCGATCTCTTGACCTCGTGATCCACCCGCCTCGGCCTCCCAAAGTGCTGGTATTACAGGCGTGAGCCACTGCACCCGACCTAGATTCCCTTTTTCAAAAGATTATTCTGCCTTGAAGATAGAGAATGGATTAGCGACCATTAGAATTGAATGGATTAACCTGGGATTAATGGTCTCTAGACTGAAATCAGGGAATCGCTGAACTAGAATAGGAAAGAGATGCATCTTTATGGTCACTAACTTTCCACTAAAATTTAGCATGTCTTTCAGTTATAAACATAGGCAACAAGCCCAACAGAAATCACAGATCTTTTGAAAGGAAATGAAAGAATAAAAAGGAATGAAAGAATAAAAAGTAATCACACATCTTTCCATTTCCCCTGACAATTGTTGTATATATCCCAGAATTAACATTGAGGAGGGGACTTTTGGCTTTACCAGGCTGCCACCTGGGTTAAGGAACCCTGGGTTGCAGAGACTGGAGGTGAGAGGGGTGACTGAAATAAAGCAGCAGCAGTGAAAAAGGAGTGGAGGGCACACACCTGAAAAAAAGGCAGAGCAAGCAGTGAGCGGCCGGTTCATGAGACATTGGAGCAACAAGCACCTTGCACAGCTCTCAGGTTTCCAGTGTGGGTGCCTGGGTGATGGACCATCACCAAGACAAGAACGTAGAGAGAGAACCAGTTGGGATGAAAAGGGAACAGGTTGGATTTGAGGCGTGTGTCATTACAGGCACTGGGACTTAAAAAGAGTTGGGCAGAAGGTGTATATCCCTGAGCGTGAATGAGGAGGTGGGAGGCAGGGCCATGGAGGACTCTCCAGGACTGCACAGAATGAGAGGAGCTCATAGAAGGAACCGAAATATTCATTTTCAAAATGTTTATAGAGGGAGAAGAGATCGGAAAGGAGCAGCCAGAGAAACTTGTGAAAATCCAGAGCAAATGCTGTCCCAGAAGCCAAAGGAAGAGACAACATGGTGTTCCAAGTGGAGTTCAGCAGTGTCAGCTGCTTTGAAGAGGATGCTTTGAGGGATAAAAAGTTTTGTTGAACTTGTCAGTGAGGAGGTCACTGGAAAACTTGGCAAGAACAGTTGCCATCGGGGTGTGGGGCAGAAGCACTGTGCACTGTGCGGAGGGAAAGAAGTGAATTTGGCGGTGAAGGGAAAAGGAGCACAGACAGTGCAGTAACAGGAGCCTCAGGGTCATGGGGAGTATGGTCCAGTGAGACCTGACAGTGGAGGGCCATTGATGACACGAGGTCCTTACGTAGGTGGGGGGATTGGGCTCTAAGCATTGAGGGGAGGGGGTGACCCTGACCACAAGAGGCCTGAGAACTGTGGACACAGGAGTTTGTGGCAGAAGGAATGTACCTTGACAAAGCAGGATAGCGGAGGTGATGTGGGGTCCAGGAAGGGCTACACTGCATGAGGAGATTCTAAAGAGAGGATGTGTTGGTGGCTGGAAGCATCTATAAGTGGACAGATGTACCTGTTTGGGGCTCAGCGGCCCTTCACTCTGGGTTATGTGGACTTCTGGCAGCTGTTTTGAACTGGGATTTTGTGGTGCCTGGTGCTTTTCTGGTAGTCTTCTAGTTAACACTGGAGGTTTCTCCCCTCTTTTGTTTGTGCATTCTTTCTACTTAAAAAAAGTTCTAATTTCCCCAGATTTACAGTTTATAAATAATTGATCAAGAAGCATCACCCTGACCTGCATCCGTGGCTGTCATCTGCTTCCTCAGGCCTTCCTTCCCTAGTCACCTCTGCTTCCTCTCCAAGAAGGTCTGAGTTCCACTGAGATTCAGGGACAAAACAGTGTGTTCTCCCCACTTCATGAAGGGTTTGCCTTTATTACAGAGGTGAGATTCAGAATTAGCTCTCACCCAGTGAGTCCCTTGTGGGCAAGAACTTTCAGTTCAACTGAGCATACCACTCAGCAACCTGACTGTTTTAGTCCATTACTGTTGCTATGAAGGAATACCTGAGGCTGGGTAATTTATTTAAAAATAAGGTTTTTTTGACTCACAGTTCTGCAGCTGCACAAGAAGCATGGTGCCAGCATCTGCTGCTGGAGAGGGCCAGGCTGCTTCCACTCACAGCAAAAGGCAAAGGGGAGACAATGAGGTGTGCATATCACATGGCAAGAAGGAAGTGCAGGTGGGCAGAGGTGCCAGGCTCTTTTAAACATCCAGCTCTTAAGGAAATAGTAGAGGGAGACTGACTCACTCCCCCGCCCAAGGCATGAATCTATTCATGAAGAGTCCACCCCCATGACCTAGACACCTCCCACTAGGCCCCACCTACATTGAGGATCACAGTTCAACTTGAAGCTTGGGAGACAAACATCTAAGCTACAGCACTGATAGAGACATCTTTCTAAATATAATAATACGGGCTGATTTAAGTCTTTAATCTTTTAACATGGTCTCATAAAAGTTAAAAGAATCTGCTTAGACATGGATAATCAGCTATTAATTACTTTAGTGGGTCTTTAAGTAACTCATTTTAAGAAAGTGAATTGAACTCTACATATGAATGATGGTTACTGACTTACCACGTCCCTTATGCAAGTCCTTAAAGCACTGAGCTGCCATTTCTTCACAAATAAACTGGGAATGAGGATACCTATACTTACAGAATTGCAATAAAGACCAAATGAGGCAATCTGTGTGAAAGGCCTTTCTTTAAAAAGTATACAGTATGTTAAAATTGTGCACTTAATAAAATATAAAAGATTGCTTATGAGGATAAAAGCAAGGCAGTGAACAGCAGGCTGTTGTACAGTTGTAGTGTTTAAGTATAAGCCCTAGGGCTTATAATATACATATTTGATTAATCAGAGTCTACCTTGAAATGGTATGAGACTACTTCTCATGCTGCCTGAGGAAACTGCAATAGTATATTATCAGTTCCTTGCCATTCTCTGTGCTACTGCCGTCAGAGTTTACTTCTACATATTCTATAAACACAACATATTGTAACAATTTTTGCTTTAGATAATCAAATATTAAAAAGCAATTAAAACAAATAATGTTTTATCTTTACATATATGTCATTTCCAGTGTTCATTTCTATATAGATCAATGTGCCTGCTGGTATATTCCTTCTGCCTAAAGAACTTCCTTTTTCATTTCCTGAAGTGCAGGTCTGTTGGCAATGTTTTTTTTTCAGTTTTCATTTTTTGAAAAGTGGTTTCCTCCGTTTTTGGAAGATGCTGTTTCTAGGTACAGAATTCTATCTAGGTTGAGATCTTTTTTGTTGCAGCACTTTAGATGCCACTCTATCATCTTCTGACTTGCAAAGTTTCTGATGAGAAATCGCCTTGAATTCTCATCTTTATGCCTCTATGACATGTGTCATTTTTCTTTGTCTTTAAGGTTTTCTCATTAGTTTTCATAAGTTCGAATATATAAGATGTAGAATCTTGTTTGGTTTTGATATTTAACCTCCTGGGTATTTGACAAATATTTGTTGAAAACTATTGGCTTCCATCACTGTCCCATCCCTAGGTTCCATATAGAAGCTAAGGATATAGGGATGGACATGGTATCTCCCCTCAAGGAGTTAACCCAGAAGTACAGACAAGAGATGGTGATGACTTAGACTAGGAAAGTGGAGCAGGGAAACTGGCCATGAGAAGCTCAGTTTACTCACTGCTTAACGTTCGGTATGGCTATCTGTGTCAAATGCTATTCACTAGCACTTTAAAAATAAAATTTATTTATACTCGGGATTGGTCAAATCTTGGTTTAAATATGTTTCCAGGGATCACATGTAAATGTGCTGAGACTTCATCCTTGAATGCAAAACTTGTCAAAGCGGAAATTCCTGTCTTTTCTCCTTGACAGCTGGAAGAGAAGACTGAGAACAAGTTGGGAGAACTAGGCTCCTCCACTGAGAGCAAGGGGGCCTTGAAGAAGGAGAGAGAGGTGCACCAGAAGCTCCTGGCTGACAGTCACAGCCTGGTCATGGACCTGCGCTGGCAGATCCATCACAGCGAGAAGAACTGGAATCGGGAAAAGGTGGAACTTCTTGACCGCCTGGACAGAGATCGGCAAGAGTGGGAGCGGCAGAAAAAGGAACTCTTGTGGAGGATAGAGGAGGTAAGGAGGCACCCCAGGCCCTGGAGCATAGGCACAGAGTGTAGAGTACTCAGTGGAGCCAGAAAGCCAAAACACTAGGCTGTTTTCTGGTCCTTGCAGCATCAGGATGCATGGGCTTCCAAAGGAAGAGAGAGAAATACTAGAATTGCTTGTGCTGGAGACCTAGTTTCATATCTCTCCATGACACAGTTTATGGATAACTTTCCTATGTGTACATGTGTTGGTGGCTGAGCAGGATGGCTTGGGGTTGTGGGAGGTGGGAGATAACTTTTTAAAGGAATTTAAAGACAAAATTAGAAAGAGGTTATTTCAGGTCTTAGTCAGTGATTTCTGCTGAAAGCAAACTATAACTTTTAAGTTTGCCACTAAAGATGTGGTCACAGTGACTGCTTCAACTTGAATGGAATTGTTATTAGAAAAGAAATTGTTGAATTCAGTTGGAAGTCAGGCTGTTTGCTGGCGAGTGTGCCTGCTGTGAATACTGCTGAGCTGTGATTAGATGGACCATAGTCAAGAGAGGTCGTTGGTAGCTCATCATCTTTAGCTAAACAAACAATTCAGAAACTCAGATGAATTTGGGGAGGAGTACGGGTAGTCATTTTTCTGCCAACTTAACCATTCTCTGCATTGCATCAAACTTAGAATGGTTTGCATAGTTGCAGTAGTTATGGAGTGATACACAAATTAAATTGATGAAGATTTGGAATTCTTCCCTGGCTGGGTTTTTACATAGTATACATTTTGTTTATTTCAGCCAGTCACACTTATAAATTTATGAGGTCTCAAGGAAATGTATTAATCAGTAAGAAATTGAGCTCAGGAAAAATAACCTCATTACTCTATTTTAAGTACCCCGAGAGCCTTTTGAGAAATGTACTCTGTTACCCACGGAGATGGTGCCTGTGTTATGCAGGTATAATGACAAAGGTGAGTATATGCGTATGTTGCATAGGGAGGGAGGCAGAATGAACTAAATGGTAAAAGACACCAAGAGCCTTTGGCTTGGAAACCGCTGAGAAGAATAGAATACACTGTAGGTGAGCTATGATCATCACTGCATTTCAGCCTGGGTGGCAGGTGAGACCCCATCTCCAAAAAATAAAAAGAGGAAAGTACACTGCAGATAGAAAAGCTGAAACTCTTTCTAGGTTTGACCACTCACACAAATGAGTCGCATTACTAATCTTTGATATGGCTCCATTTCAGTATTGCCCAAATCCTATCAGGAGGAATGTGGCTATTTCCTTTTTGGCTTGGACGTGCAGCACTTGTGAAGAGTCTCCTGTATTAAATCTCCTGTGTGTCTGTGCTCTATTGCTAGGTGGAAATTTTAGGGGTAGAAGTGGCATATATTCTTTAAAAATGGCCACTAATTTGTTATATCCAACTTTAGTTGTCCAGTGTCAAGTAACTACAGCAACATGTTGCCAGGGAGCTTCATTCTTGGCCTGCGCTCTAGGGCCACTCACTTTTTATGTCCCTCCTGTACCCCAGTGAGGCCATCATGAACCCTGCCATGGCCCCTTTAGGGTACCCTTTGCCTGTTAGCCATGGTGGCTTGTTGGACTTTTCACAGGCTTCATTTGTTTGGAAAGTTATACCTTGGATATAAATTAAGTAAATCTTACATTTTTAATTTTTACTTTTGGGAATGAAGAATTTCTAGTAAAGGAAAAATTAGTAAAACATGGTGATACTCAACTTTTGAAAAGTCAGTGACTTAAAGATGAGCCACAGCCTCGTTTTGAGACTATATTTTGGAAAGGTAGTAGTGGTTAGGAGCTGACCTCCAATTCCAAGTTACCAGTATTGAAACAGTTCTGCCAAACCGACAGCCTCAGAACCCAGTCCTCGAGATGGACATCTTTGAGCATCATGGCATGAGTTTCAGGCATGCAGCTGTTCCTGAAATCTGTGTAATGGATCCCACAGATTTTGTACAATGATTTCACTGCTGTTTTTAGAAAAGGATTGGTTACAGATGAACTGATGCTTCAGACATGTAACTGTGGCTTTCAAAAATAAATATGGCCTTTTCCCCAAAATATTCAACATTTTTAAAGAAGGTTTTTTAAATATCAGTGCCCCATCCTGAAAATGAGGTAAAGCAATTATAGGCATTATCTAAACTTCCTGAAAAGAAGAAATTGGTTCAAGTGTGTATGGGTGTATATAGATTTTGTTCATTTGTGTATCAGTTATTTGGGTTGCTCGTTCATTTAACTTTTAGCTACATATTCCATAGATAAATGAGAAATGTAACTGAACATTCTTCACAATGTATACTCTCAGCATTTGACTACTTGGTAGCCATATAATATAACCTTGACTCTGATAACCTAATACAGACAGTGAAAGAAGTAACACTAAATCCATTTTCCACTTTCAGAACACATGCTTCTTACTTGTCTGGTGTCATTAAATTCCTACATAATTTCTGCACCACATGAGGCACGTTATGTGATGTGGGAATGTGGCTAAGGTCATATAATACATTTTATCTAACTTATCAGTGTCTTTCGTCTCAATCAAGTTTGATTGCAGGGTTGGGGCAGGAGACTTTTATGAAGTCACACTACATTTCTCCTTAGAATTGTTGAGTTCCCAGTTAATATGCAGATGATGTAGGACATGCTGTTAGATTTGCTGTACTTACCAAGCTAAAAAGCGTCATCCATTCATTCTCCTTCCAGTAACTTTCTTAAATCAGCTGCCATTCTTTTAAAACCTGTTTACAGAGTGACCTTTTTTTCCCACCAGTCCAGGTAAGGTGACATCTTGAGGGTTTATTGTTTCCTATATTAAAATAAAAATATTTAAAATTTTCTACTTGCATTAAAACTTGTTCTATTGCAAAATTGCAAGTAGGTGCTGATGCTGGCTGAAATGACTGCTATAGGAAACCCTACCCTTCTAAGGACCTGTTCTATTACAACACCCCAGAGGCATCTTAGCAGCAGACATCTCCAGCCACAACCACGGCAGTTCATTTTTAGGAAACCTAACACTTAGCAGCTTGAGTACAAGTTGCTCCTGGCTGCTCGGGTTTATTTTTGAAATCCCACTTGACTGAGTTAGAGGGTGCTTGTTCATAGCTCTCCTTTTTAGTTATTCTTTTCCCCCCTCACTCACACCTCAGTGCACATTTGCAGCTTCAAATGGGATTCTTGCATTTTAATTTCTTGCCCAAAATAGCTTAGAGATGATCATGTGTTGAAACTAAATTGTGCCGACATGCATTAAATGAACATATAAAAAGCCTTCCTCTTTTTTTTTTTTTAAAGAAGGCAGTTAGCATCTTTAAGAAAACTGCAAAGAACTGTGTCATCATCAGAGAGGAGAAGAGAGCAGAGGGGCAGAGCTAAAATGTGGAGTTTTGGGGTTTTACTGGTTCCCTGATTTGCCTGTAAACTGCCTTGGAAGCTAATATGTAAGCCTTGGCTGCTTCAGTCTCCATCTTTCTCAAAGATAAAGATAAATCTCTGTTCTGCCACCTTAGAAATTACTAACAATGAGCAAACATCCTTTTGTCTTTACTATCTCATATGACTTTCTTCCTGACTTTACAGAAACCATATTTACATCCAACTTGTGGATGAATGCTCAAATCAGGACACAGAGATGCAGTTTGTTGTGATTCTTTAAAAAAAAAAAAAAGAATTGATCTGCATTCAAAGCACTTTTAGAATTTCTGGTACCGTCTCAGTGCTTGAGGACTTTAAATTTTTATTTGACTACTCCTTCAGGTCAAATCCAAATGTCACTTTCATCATTCAGATATTTACTTATTCAAAATAGCAGTCAATCCAGTAGTGTGAGCTTGTCATCCAATAAAGGCCCCTCTAAAGATTCATAGGTAAAAATAGCTTTGGGTCTCCGTTGTGCTTTCTGTGCCTGTTTTAGAAAGGGAAGCAATGAGGAGGGCTCAGGAGAGTGGGGTGGAAGCTGGTGAGGGCTCCTCTGGGGAGGGAGGCCATGCACTCTGCAAGCCATTTGCCTTCCTGCCTCAGCAGTTCTTTGTAATTTCACATGGGCTCCCTTCCTGAGCCACCTGCACAAGATCTTCATCTAGTGCTGCAAAAGGACCCAGAAAGGCCTAATGCCATTACGTGGGCTGGGCCCCCACCAGACAGCACGACTCCTGTGAGCCCATGTGCACAATACATCTTACAGATAAGGAAACCAAGCTCAGGGGAGTCAGGAACTTGCACCTGCCTCTGAACTAGCAAACCACATGCTAATGGTTCCAACTCAGGTCTTCTCACTCCTGGAGTGCTTGCCCACTACTGGTTCTTGAGTTCAACCAAGTCAGGCAAAAAAGTATGACTGTAAAGTAACATGACTTTTGTTTTCACTCAGTCATACTGCCTTTATAGTTAAGTTTTTATCCTCTCTAAGTATGTTACATTTGACACCAAATGGTTAAGCCATTTGAGTTTGTAACACCAAACGGTTACAAACTCAAGTTTGCTCACTTGAGTTATTTATAGGACCTGTTCCACATGCCCTGGAGCTAGTTGGGAAAATTGGGTTCACTCTCAGAAGTTTGCTATCACTGATGGTATTCCACTGAGTGTGTCTTGAGTTCTGAAGGTAGTTCCAAAGAGAGTTTTAAACATGTTCTTTAATGGTATTAGATTAAAAACTAGTAATAAATGTAGAATTTACCATGAGTACAACATTCAAAGTTATGTATAATAACACATATATTGGTGTCAGAAAGAGTTTGCCATACTTGTGTGTGGTTAATGCAGATTTTCTTTTTTTTTTTTTTAATACAGATTTTCTAGTCCAGATAAAATTGTGGGTTTTGTAAAGCATCTGTAATGTTGTGTTACATTTTGAAATTAAGGTCAGAACGTTAAGAACATTTGCTTCTCACAGAGTTTTTCAAACTGAGCTATATGTAATTCCAAATTTTGGAGAAACAGTGGTTTTAGGGAGACCATCAGAAAAGCGAGGCTAATCATTTTCGTTTTTAAAACTTTCAAGTTGCAGAAAGAGAACAGTCCCCAGAGAGCTGGCAGTTTCCTCTGTGATCAAAAAGACGGCAACGTTCGCCCCTTTCCCCACCAGGGAAGCCTCCGCATGCCCCGTCCTATGTCCATGTGGCCTTGCGCAGATGCTGACTCAGTACCATTTGAAGACCGGCCACTGTCCAAGCTGAAGGAGTCGGACAGGTGCTCGGCCAGTGAGAACCTCTACCTGGATGCCTTGTCCCTGGATGATGAACCAGAGGAGCCACCAGCCCACAGGCCTGAGAGGGAGTTCAGGAACCACCTCCCTGAGGTCAGCCAGGTTTTGTCACCCTAGTTAATTACGGCAGAATGAAGGAGCTGTCATGAAACCTAAAAGGCATGTCAGATTCCTTTCCTGGCAGGCTCCAGCACTTTCGCATACAGCAGTCTCCGAACTGAGTAAAAATGAGATCTTCACAACACTAAGCATTTTGTTTGACCCTAAATTAGCATGCTCTGCTGTCGATTTAACTTTGCCCCCTTGTTTCAGGTTTAGAAATACTGGACTAGAGTCCTATTTAAAAGGAAGGTCTCACAAGTAAGTGTGTCCAATAGACACAAGAGGAAGTAAATAATTCTAGGAAGTGTATATGCTCAACTTTTCTTTTCCTTTTTTTGGGTGGGGAGATGGGGGTCTCTCTCTCTCTTGCCTAGGGTAGAATGTAGTGGCCGATCACGGCTCACTGCAGCCTTGACCTCCCAGGCTCAATTGATCCTTCCCTGTCAGCCTCCTGAGTAGCTGGGCCCACAGGCATGCACTACCATGCCTGGCTGTTTGTTTGTCTGTTTTTTTTTTTTTGAGATGGAGTTTCGCTCTTGTTACCCAGGCTGGAGTGCAATGGCGCAATATCGCCTCACTGCTACCTTCGCCTCCTGGGTTCAGGCAATTCTCCTGCCTCAGCCTCCTGAGTAGCTGGGATTACAGGCACGCCCAGCTAATTTTTTTGTATTTTTAGTAGAGACGGGGTTTCACCATGTTGACTAGGATGGTCTCAATCTCTTGACCTCGTGATCCACCCGCCTCGGCCTCCCAAAGTGCTGGGATTACAGGCTTGAGCCACCGCGCCCGGCCATTTGTCTGTTTTTTTTTAAGTAGAGACAGGGTCTCCCTGTGTTGCCCAAGCTGGTCTCAAACTCCTGGACTCAAGTGATCTGTCTGCCTTGGCTTCCCAAAGTGCTGGGATTACAGACATGAGCTACTGTACCCAGCCTCAACTTTTCTTGAAATAGTACAGTTTCTGATTCTAGAAAACTAATAACCAAAAAAATTGTTGGCAAAGGGAAAAAAAGTCCAATACTCAGAAACCTTACATAAATTAGACCAGCAAACGGGTGAGCTAAGCTGTAGACATTTCCATGGCACAGCATTAGTTATGTTTTTCTGGTTTTAATATTAAAACCTTGTTTTAAAAGTTGATTCTAGGAATCATTACTTGTGAAGTAATTCAAGTTGCTGCACCTATCATTTGGTCTCCTAAACACTTAAGACTTAGACGAGTTCATATCAAATAGTGTTGTTGAAATATGTGGAAATTATATTTTACTCACATCAGTAAGGTCAAATGCTTTATCCTCAGCAATGTATCAGATTGATAGGATATCGCCACAGTCCCACGCTGTCTAATCTATTAGCAGTCTTGTACAGTCCAATTACATAGCAGAGGTAACGCGGGGTAGGGTCGGGAGCCTGTGGCTGGGTTCCAGCCCACTGGAACCTGCATGGCAGAGAGACATGGGGCGTGCTCACTGGGGGAAGTGTACCCCTTGCTATTTACTGTCCTGAAAAATATGTTTCCATGACTGTTAGTCAAAGCCTTGCTGCTTCAAAACCACGTCAGAACAAGAGTGTTTTCTCAGTAGACAACCTTGTGTTTATGTTGTTCTACAAACACAGCTATCATTCTTCTTAAGGGGAAGGCGCTGTGTAGCTTTGCCTCCGATTGTAAATGGGAATGTTTAAAACCAACCAAGTGCCCAAGCCTAACGATGTCATGCCAACTTCTACAGCAAGATTTGGACCAAGGGACATCAGTCTCCTAACTTCACTCTGTCACCTTCCATCTTCCTCTCTAACATGACACACACACATACATATATACTCTCTCTCTCCTCTCTCTCTCTCTCTCTCTCTCTCTCTCTCTCTCACACACACACACACACACACACACACACACACACACACACACAAACACACTTAGGTTGTTACAAGAGCCAGCTTTGAAATTCATGTAGTCTGTGAGGTCCTTTGAGGAAGCACAGAAGAGCCACTTCCTCCATGACAGAGTTTATAGCCAGTTGTTCTCATGTGGGCTCCTCCCTGGACTGCAGAAGCTACAACCCCTCATCACGCTGTGGACTCTGCTTTGATTATTGTACTTCAAAGGCCTCAGGGCAGTAGCACTCCTAACCAGAGCTTGGCCTCAGTGCTCATTCTAAATGGTGTTTTCCTCGGGGAGCAGAGCAAACAAATCACTTAAGTACATTGAGGGCTTCTAGGCAACCAAAATTAACCGATTCAAATGAAGTTATTTCTTCTTTATAGGAAGAAGAAAATCACAAGGGAAATCTGCAGAGGTAAGTAAGATTGATGAAAATAATAGATTACTGAAATAAAAATGTCTTGTTTTGTCAATGCAGTCTATTTTACCACTGTCTTCAAAATACTTAAAATTAAGCCATTTATGAATAAGTGGCTGCTTTATTATTCATTTCATAAACATGGAATTTTTGATTCTCAGAAACAAAGAAACTAGACATGCTATGTTATGTGTGTATTAGTTTATGGTAAGGACTTTCCAGTTGTAGTTGTGCTAGGTATACAAAGGAATGCTTGTGTTTCGTGGTTTTTGAAAGGTCCATGGAAACCTCACCTTTCTCATTTAAAGTCTGGAAAAACTCTCTCTTGTATGCTGTGAGATGTTTTATCCATTGTGTATTTAAAAGCTCCACTAAGAGAATTTATTAAAATATTTTCTGGCAGTAGTTCTTGAAGAAGACATATAGTAGTAGATGTGGATGTTACACACTAGTTTTTTCCTTCCCAGTTTAATTTCCTCCAGTTTTACTTTTTCTTCGTTCTCTAAATGAATGCATACCATTACTGCGACATGAAATTCTTCTCGAACAATTCAACATTTCCAGATCTCCTCATCCTTGATTTTCCTCTGAACTTCGAGTCTGTGAATGACTGTCTGCTTCTCATTTGCCCTCTGCCAGATCTCTGCAGCACCTAGCCGTGCCTGCGGCATATTTCTGTCCTTCACGCTGCATTCCCTGGTCTTTCTTGGGTGGTACAGGACAGTAATTGAGAGCTCAGGCTCTAGAGCCAAACTGCCTGGATTTATTTATTTATTTATGAGATGGAGTCTCGCTCTGTCTCCCAGGCTGAAGTGCAGTGGTGCAATCTCAGCTCACTGCAACTTCTGCCCCCTGGGTTCAAGCAATTCTTCTGCCTCGGCCTCCTGAGTAGCTGGGATAATAGGCACACCCCACCACGCCCAGATAATTTTTGTATTTTAGTAGAGTCAGGGTTTCGCCATGTTGGCCAGGCTGGTCTCGAATTCCTGACCTCAGGTGATCCACCTGCCTCGGCCTCCCAAAGTGCTGGGATTACAGGAGTGAGCCACCACACCCGGCCCAAACTGCCTGGCTTTAAAATAGCTTCTGCCTCTTTGTAGCCATGTGACCTTGGGTAGGTTACTCAACTGCTTTATGCCTCAGTTTCCTCCTCATCTGTATACAGGAGGTATTTTGATTATCTGGGTTTTTTTGTTTTTTGTTTTTTTTGCAGCTTATGTATGTTAATACACATAAGGGAAGCAGCACATGGCACAAAACAAACAGTAAACAGAGGGTAGTCATTACACCCTCCCACCTTCTCCATTCACAGCAGCAGTCATGTCAGTGTTTTGGGTTAGGCTTTGGAGTAACTCTGTTTCACCTCAAACCATCAACCTTTACACTACTGTCAAAAGCAACCCAGGCTTGCTGTAAAATGTAAATGTCGGCTGAGGCAGAAGAATCTCTTGAACCCAGGCAGTGGAGGTTGTAGTAAGCCAAGATCGCACCACTGCACTCCAGCCTGGGTGACAGAATGAGACTTCATCTCAAAAAAAAAAGAAAAAGAAATATCAAAATGTTCAAAGTGAAAACTGGATGTGCCCTCCCTGCTGTCCCCTTTTCCTCTGGCCTCTGACTGCCCAGTGTTTTTCCGCCGAACTCTTCGATGTACCTACAAGCGCCTACACACACTCCAGATGTGTCCTGGGTCTCCTCTTCATGGTTTCGCTTGCTTTGGCCACTGCCTGAGGTTCATGTCTCTGCTTTCTCTGTCTTTATCATCTCTCTTCCACCATATCTATCTATGCAACAGAGGCACTGAATTTTCACCCAGGTAGATGCCACTGATTTAACTCTGAGACAGTTCCGCTGTGAGCAAAAGTGGGATTAGATGAGCTATGTCCACAGAAATGTGGAAAGGACCAGGGGTGTGGCGTGTGTTTGGCACTTACAGTCCCCAGTGAACAGTGTTCTGAAACTCATTATTAATTCAGCAACTCCTTGAACTGACCAGAAGCAAGAAGAGGAAATTCATACTTGCTGAAAAGCTCATGACCTGGGGACAAATCACCCCATACCTACCATTGCCCTTCCTTTCCAGCACTGCATATAGCCAGCTTGTGGTTATTCAAAGCACCACTGGACAGTTTGTAGATTATTTCCAGCAACAACAACAAAATAACAAGATGGAATGCCTAACAATGTCACTTTTGGCCTGCTGTTTTACCCCATGGTAAACATGGTAAAAACAGCGGGTGCCTTGTCCCCAAGGTGAAGCCAGCTGTCAGCAAAGCTGCCCGAGCTTTGGTGGTTCTGCATGCCAGTGCAGGGACATGCTCAGAGCAGACCCCAGTCCTGGCCTCATCATCATTAATGGGTCCTATGGAGGAGTGGTCCATGCATCAATCTGGGACTCCTTCCACAGGGCCTGCACTAGTCTAGAACCCTAGGTTTAAGCCTGTGCTTTGCAGGGTGAAAGGAATATCAATATATCCTCTAAGAATCTGGACAGTGAAACTATGGACACCTCACCTTCCCATCCCACCCTAGCTGGAGGGATTCCAGGCCAAAGAGGTTCTGCTGCCTGAGCCAGCAGGCACAGCCAGCCCCTAGCCCCATTCCTGACCACCACTTTTTTGCCCTGGTGGTAGTCGTGCCCAAGCACCTTAGCCTAGAAGCATTCCTGGCACCTCTGCAGCACCTGCCTGGCATGTGAGACACATTCAGTGAACTCACAGCAAATTGAAAGTGCTAACACATGGAAGAATCCACACCAAATTTATGTCCATCAGGTGGTGGCTTACCAAAACCTGGCTATCACTGTGGCTCACCTGTCTTCATCCTGTGGTCTGAGTGAGTCTCCTAAGAATTCTCACTGAGTCACTGAGGCCTCAAGTGATTCTCCTGTCTCAGCCTCCCAAAGTGTTGGGATTACAGGCATGAGCCACTGTGCCCAACCAGAGTTGGTTGTATTAAATTCTGACCAATGCAAGGCTTCAGGAACAATACCAGAGCCACACAGAGTCCAGTAAATGCCCACAGAGTAAGCTGAGAGTGCAGCACATGAGCAGCTGAAAGTGTTCTGGTGTGGGTGGGCACCTTTACTGGCACATCTCACGCAGAGCAAGACATGGGTGCTGTGGCTTGTCAGAGGCTCCCTGGCGAGTGCTGACACCTTCTTTTCTGCTTTTCCAAGGGCGGTGTCTGTGTCCTCCATGTCCGAGTTCCAGCGCCTAATGGACATCTCCCCATTCCTGCCTGAGAAAGGCCTGCCATCCACCAGCAGCAAGGAGGACGTCACCCCGCCCCTGTCTCCAGACGACCTCAAGTACATTGAGGAGTTCAACAACAAGAGCTGGGACTATTCACCCACCAGGGGCCACAATGGTGGGGGGCCAGACCTCTGGGCCGAGAGGACCGAGGTGGGGCGGGCAGGGCACGAGGACAGCACAGAGCCTTTCCCTGACTCCTCCTGGTACCTGACCACAAGTGTCACCATGACCACGGACACCATGACCAGCCCAGAGCACTGCCAGAAGCAGCCGCTGCGGAGCCATGTCCTCACTGAGCAGTCGGGGGTGCGTGTGTTACACAGCCCACCTGCCGTGCGCAGGGTCGACAGCATCACGGCAGCGGGGGGCGAGGGTCCTTTTCCCACAAGCAGAGCCAGAGGGAGCCTGGGAGATGCCAAGGGGGGCCCTACAGAACCCATGCTTAGCAGGTGGCCTTGCACCTCCCCCAGGCACTCCCGGGACTATGTGGAGGGGACACGGCGCCCCCTGGATACCCCCCTCTGCACCTCCCTGGGGTTTGCCTCTCCACTGCACAGCCTGGAGATGTCCAAGAACTTGAGTGATGACATGAAGGAGGTAGCCTTCTCTGTGAGGAATGCCATCTGCTCTGGCCCTGGTGAGCTGCAAGTCAAGGACATGGCCTGCCAGACCAATGGGTCCCGGACGATGGGGACCCAGACTGTTCAAACTATCAGTGTGGGCCTGCAGACTGAAGCCCTGCGTGGTGTCACCAGCAGCCCCCACAAGTGTCTCACACCAAAAGCTGGGGGCGGTGCTACACCTGTGTCATCTCCTTCCCGAAGCCTTAGGAGCAGACAGGTGGCCCCTGCCATCGAGAAGGTGCAGGCTAAGTTTGAACGCACATGCTGCTCCCCCAAGTATGGTTCTCCCAAGCTGCAGAGGAAGCCCCTCCCCAAAGCTGACCAGCCAAATAACAGGACGTCACCAGGGATGACCCATAAAGGGTACAGTGAGTCAGCCTGGGCCCGCTCCACTACCACCAGGGAGAGCCCCGTGCACACCACCATCAATGACGGCCTTTCCAGCCTCTTCAACATCATTGACCACAGCCCCGTGGTGCAGGACCCCTTCCAGAAGGGGCTGCGGGCCGGCAGTCGGTCTCGCTCAGCAGAACCCCGACCAGAGCTGAGCCCAGGCCAGGAAACAGGCACTGATTCCCGAGGAAGGTCGCCTAGCCCCATTGGGATAGGCTCAGAGATGTGCAGGGAGGAAGGAGGAGAGTGCACGCCAGTGAGGCAGGACTTATCTGCTCCCCCTGGCTACACACTCACTGAGAACGTGGCCCGGATCCTCAACAAGAAGCTGCTGGAGCATGCCTTAAAGGAGGAGAGGAGGCAGGCTGCCCATGGGCCCCCAGGTCTCCACAGTGACAGCCACTCGCTGGGGGACACAGCCGAGCCAGTGACCATGGAGGTAATGAATGCCGAGTGCCCCACACCCTCCCCCACCAGCTCTTCCCTTTAGCTGTTGGGCATTTGGGACCTGGGACTATGCTCTGTCATTTGATCTCAGGAATCATCCATGATTGGTGGTTGGGAGCTGGGGAGGTGTTGGGTTTATGGAGGAGTAGAATAGGCAGAAAAAACCCTGAGCAACTTTTTAAAGAAAATGTTATTTTACTGTCGTCAGGAAATCATGTAGTACATGGTTTGATTCGGGTTCTGTCACTGGTCTAAGTGATTGGTCCTTATTTATCAGGGCTTTTCTTTTGGGGTAATAGCCTTCTTTCTGTATGAATTTGTGCATGTGGACAAACTATGTGAAAGTTGTGTCAGGGATCTCTGCATACTGCAGACCTTTATATGTGACAGCACAAGGTGAGCTGGAGAGGGTCTAGAACACGTGGGCACAAGCACATCTCGTCAGGGCCCACAAAATCTCAATTTTCTTCGTTACAAAACAGCCATCTGGCAGCTCACAGATCACTTACCCTCTTTGTGGCCATGAGCTCCCCAGCAGTAAAACCAGGTGAAACAAATGGACAAAATTAAAATCCTGCCCTAAAACAATCTGATTATCATCTCCCTTGATATTACTCACAAATCAATCTACGGTGAATTGGGTTCTGATACATATCCACATGTGATTTTGTACACCACTTTACAAAACACTTCCCATTTCCACTTCAAAAATTACCACAATGAAAGCCTGACGATAATGCTGGTGATGTTGGCTATGGTGATGCTACTTTGTGGTTTGTGCAGCACAGAGGAGGCGTCTGTCCTGCAAGTAATCCCAACTTGCCAGGAGTCTGGATGAACAAGCTCCACACTGGGGACACCTGACCCCATGAGCACTCTCCCAGCCAGGCTGCTCCCGCAGATGGCAGGGGTCAGAGGAGGAGGACAGCAGCATGCTTCTGGGCTGCCAGCTACTTTCTTGCCAGGACCAGAGCAGCACTGGCTTCATGGGCAGGGAGAGTAGGAAGGTGTATTGCCTATTTCACCAGGCCCATGTTTCCCACAGGAGGGTAAATGATGGCTAGCTTACCAGTCTGGCCCACCTAACTCAAAATGCAGGCTTGAAATCTGAACAGGTCAAACCTGTGGAACTGCCAGTGACCTATAGAAATGGCAATTCCATATGGTTCACACCTAATACAAATATTGACACTATATGACCTACATGTTCCAAGATCTGAGTCTTTGTGATAAAGTTGTTTGCATGCTCTGAGAAGGACAAACTACCGGTTGCATGTTCTCAGGTGACAAATGGTGTCTTCTTTGGGCTACTGTTACCCCATCCTTCTGGGGTCCTCAGGTAAGTACTCCTGCTGTGGAAGGTTCTATTTATTATGTGAATGCCCTGACTTCTTAGGGCCCCCTATGGCTCTGAATTTCAGTTAAAACTGGGGCTGTGTCTCAAAGCATTAACCGGCTACATCTGTAGTGTCTATTTATATTACACACCAAATACAAATTAGTTTTTGGGAACCGAAAAATGCTTTGAATTACTAATAGTGAATGCTGCAAGCAAAAGTAGGTTCATGATAGAATCTCAGCATTAGGCATAAAAATGGTTTTATCAGTACAAAGTGGTGCCCACCCCCTTTTGTCCTCTGTATTTGTTTAGATTTTCTCCTCACTTGGTGCGTTTCCCACTAAAAGAGATGATGTGAAAAGGAGCACAGTTTAGGGACTCAGAGCATGCATGGAGCACTCATCGGCAGCATCTAAATGCCACGGGCTCTTTTTTCCTTTTCTGTTGGAATTTTGCTTGTTCTAGATTCCAGTGGGATTATTCCTGAATTGATACATTAGGACCTTTGCAACCCCTTCCCATTGCTCCATGAATTATGTAGTAGTTCTAGGTATGCATTCCCATATCCCCAGGACTACTTCCGATTCCAAGCCCAGCCAGTGCCCTGTTATGGAATCTTTCCCTGATGTTCACTCAGGCATCCAGGCCCAGGAGTGACGCGGGTGACAGGAAATCTCCCTTTCTCACTGCACTCTCATCCCGTAAGCCACTCAGGCCTCTTTTTCTCTCCACACCATGGCACTAGTTCAGCAGTGCAGAGAGAAGCTGTGAGGAGTTGTATTGTGAAGAGAAAGAACAGTCTGAAAATGGAATGCTATTCCTCCCTCCCCTAAGTGGAAAATGTGAGGGGAAATTTTTAGAATAAGCGGCAGTAGCTTGGCTGTTGTGACCATAACAAATGCAGCCTTATGATGGCCTCTGTTTTAGATAACAGTCATGCAATTTCCATCTCTGTTTTCCAAAATGCTGTTTGAAATGTTAAATGCTAAAGGATGACTTGGGGAAGCATAGAAACCAGAGGGAGGTCTGTGGCTCCTCCATGGAGTTTCCTTCTTCTCTCTGGGCAGATAGCAGAGGGCAGGCCTGTGTGCCCAGCGCCCAGCCACTTTTCCTCACCTCCCTTGGAGTGAGTGAATGTGCTAGATCTGAGAGCCCAGAAGTCTCTCCTGGTGGCTGTCCCTGAGGGAGAGGGACGGTCCTCTACCTCTGGGCTTACTGACTTTAAACCTTTATTGTTCTCCTGTTTAAAAAAAAAACACTGTCCAACCTTCTTGCTTTTCTTTTCTTTCTGTGTCTGTTCTGTCCAGAACCAAACTGTCTTACTAACTGCCCCCTGGGGACTCTAGCCCTGCCTGCCTCACGCTGTAAGTGCTTTCTTCCTTGTTTCCCAGCTTTCTGGAGAGGTAGTGTTGTGTGACGTTGACACCTGACACTCATCACCTGAGGTAGGGCTGCCTGGTGGCGGCGCCCTCGCTCACGCCGGGTTCCAGGAGGTTCGCCTACACCCAGGAACAGACTGACAAGACCAGAGACCCATCTGCCCTGCTAGAGGGTTGACCACTCAGTGCAAAGAAAGGTTTTAGGTTATAGAGATTCTGCTGAGATTTCTCTGCTCTTGTACATTTGCAGCCAATATGCTTTCAGAGAATTGAGTAGATACTGGCCAGGAGGGGACATCCTAGGCCGAGGGGTCTTGCCCGAGGGTGTCTATGGGTCCAGCTGCCCAGGACTGCTCACCAGCATTTTGGTCACGTATGTGCACTGGCATGTGCTGAAATGAGGTGTGGCCATAATGTGATAAGGCTTTTTTTTTTTACATTTTTCAACAACCATACCACAAGGAATGAACCCAAATATATCTTGTCCTTCCAACTGAGCACCATAGGTGACAGAGTAAGTGCTCAATAAATATTTGTTGAATGAATAAACAACAAAGTCATCCCCACTCCAAATATCTTGAGAATCTCTCAGAATTGCTTTCATAGCCTGAGTCAAAGCACATGAGAAAATTTTGATCAAGAATATAGTCATCCACTCACCTCATCCACTAGCCTAAACTCAAAACATTACGTACAGAAGTATCTGTTGTCAAAGACAACAGATGTATCCTGTGGAAAAAAATGACAAGGAACATGGGGGAGGGCCATTTTCCAGAAATGCGCTACAGGGGCGGCATCCCAGGACACGGTGCCATGTCCTGGGATGCCTCTTGGGAAAGCACAACATCATTTGCTTGTACCTGCTGGTGTGTTACTAAAGATAAGGTTCATTCCCTTGAATCCAGAGTCACAACGTTTCTTCCGTCACAAGCAGAGGCTGGCAAAGAGGGAGTACTTTCAGCAGGTCTCATTAAAAGCCTGCTCTTCAGCACCAGCCAGGTGCTGAAGAGATACAGTGTGTCAGATAAACCTATAGCAGCAGCTTTAACGCCACACAACACACAGATCAAATACACAATACACAACACACACACTACTCTTAACAACAAAGGGAGCACAGACACAAAACAGATACAGAGCGTGTGTCCCAGCCAAGCACTGTGGGCATAAGGACACGAGCACCCTGGGTTAGTGAGATGAGGACATGAGCACCCTGGGTTAGTCTGCATCTTGGTGGCACTGGTGGAGTTTTAACGGGAGAGGTATTTCTGGTTGTCATGGTACTGTTAGCATAATACCTGGGGAACAGAAGCTTCTCCCTGTGGCCATATGAAGTGCCAGCCATAAAAGCAGCAGGGAGCATGAAGCATAGTCTCCAGGGCCACTGTTCCTTTTCTGCTGACCCCACAGGGAGGGAGAGAAACCACTCGCCTTATCACTCTTCTGGAAGCCTGTGGCTCCCACGCTGTCCTCAGGCCGTGCTGTCTCTGCCATGTTCCATCTTCTCCTGAGTGGCACTGCCCATTCCATGCAGCCGTCTGTCCTTCCCCCGCTGCCACTCCCCTGCACCTCTGGCTGGTCTCCTCATCCTGGTCTTTTCGGTTGCTTGTCACATATCTTAAAATCCTCCAACTCACTTCCTTTCTGTGAGGGTCTTTCTCTGTCATCATCCTTCCTGTGCCTTCCATTCAGTTCACCTCTGCTTCCAGTGTCTGAGTGTCATTCCAGCCAGTGGGCTCCACGCTGGGCAACTCAGTTTCCTCATGCCACAGCTTTTTACATTTCGGTGTGTCAGCAAATTCCAAGTTTGAGTGTCCTGGTTTTGTAACATGTAGAGTAAGGACAAGGAGCTCAACAACATTAGTGAAAACAAAGTAGCTTGAGAATAAGGATTCTAGGTGATTTGCTCCTGGTTGAGTGTCTTGCATCACCTGTTCTCAGAACATTAAGATGCCTATAACACAAAACCAAAAGTGCTTTCTGATTCTACTTTTTAAAAACGCTGCTGCAATTGAAGAGTCATTAAAGAAAACTAGACCCAAATTAAAATTTCTGCCTGCAGCATTTTTGCTGTGTTGTGGGAGTTTGTTTAATCTACTGCCAGTCAATTTCAAATAAACAGTAGCAGAGTTCGTTTTAAGATGACTGCCGTTGCTAACACAGCTGAATGAAATCACAGGTCGCTTTGTGGGCTCCCAGTAGAACTGGCCCTATAGGACCAGTTCGCTTGTCCACTGTAGCTAAATAGATCATTAGAAAGGGCCAGATGAAGAGATCTACCAGATGGGAATACGATGAAGCAGCCTGTGGAGACCACTGCCACAGTCACTCTGCCTGTCTTCTGTATACCCCAGGCCAATTCTAAAGGAGCTTTGCAAGCTGACTCATCTCACAGTGTTGCTGAGTTTTATCATAATTGGTCCCTTTCCATTCATGTTGCTGATCATTTATGTTGAATTCTTTATCATTTTAAGTTATTCTGCATGAGCATAGAAAGTAGTTAGTATTCACAAGTTGCTCGTGGTGTATACTCGGCCTCACTTGAGTCTGTTGAGAAGTATATTTGGGGGAATCATCCACTGGTGACATTGCCGGTCTGAGTAACCCTGTCTCCTTTTCTCGGCTCTGAAGGAACTACCTTGTTCTGCACTAGCTCCATCCCTAGAGCCCTGCTTCTCCAGACCGGAGAGACCAGCAAACCGTCGCCCTCCGTCCCGTTGGGCCCCACATTCCCCCACTGCCTCACAGCCTCAGTCACCCGGAGACCTGACATCCTCGGAGGAACACGGTGGTGAGGAGCCACCTGAGGAGAAGCTGCACCGTGATGCAAGCTTGTATGGATTATCACAGTATAATTCACTGTAATTTGCATAACCACACCATCGCCATGAACGAAACTCTACCCAAAAGGAGAGATCTAGTTTTCTCAAGGTCAAAGAATGTTTTTAAAAACACACAGCTGCTGAATGTTCAACCTGTGAAACTGAGATGTTTCCAGAATGAAACAGTAAATGTGCCTGTAATAACTTAATTTTTTTCATAGCTCAGAAAACTATTTTTGTCTCCATCTTTTTTACACACAGTATATTAAACAAAAAGGTAAATAAGGTATAAATAGATTTTAAAAATAAAAGTTTTAAAAAATGTACATTTAAAGAGATTCTGAACACCCTTGCTGTCAATACCTGACTGCCTCTCTGTTAACTTTGCACTGTTAGATTCTGGTTTGGTTTATTTCTGTGTTGAATTAGAGTGGATTAATTTAATTTTATTTTGTCAGCGTTACTGTTTTTTAAGAATTTTTTAATGCTTCAGACTGTCTGATTCAGTGAACTTTTTGTAGTGAAAATGCCATGAAGCCAGTAGACAAGACAGATATTCTATATACTGGAGGGGATACAGGACATTTTTGAAAGGGTACAAAGTCCTCAGTGGGCTTAGAAAATTCACTGTATCATCCATATATTATCTTACTCGGCTTGCACGTCTTCGGGTGCATGTATATACCGCTACTGTGTCCTCGCCGCCACCTAAATGTGACTCAGTCTATTCCACTGTAATATGTCGTGAAATTCCTTGTACTGTACTTTTATTGTTGATCTTCTTGCATCGATGATACAACAGCAACAACATTTTTAAATTATTGTGAAAAGATTAACTGGCAATGTACAGCGTTTACTCAAAATTTTCTTGTTTAAGGGAAGACACTACAAAAAGTCACGAGGATACCAAATGGAAACACATCATGGTGCCTCTGAGTCTGTGTGAGACCATGATGAAGTAGAAATAAAGCCTTTCCGAGATGGCAGCATGTCTCAGCCTCTCATCTGTCACACACCCTCCATCTTTTCCTAAGGACTCACACGGAAAGTTTTCCATAGCTAGGGGAATGAAGGAGAGAGGCGATCATGTAAAGAGGCAACAGCTGCTGACATATCTTGCTAGGAACGCACTCTTTGGGTACATGATCATGTTGCAGTTTTACTGTTCTCTGTAAGAGAGTCCTAGGAGAGAGAGACAGTGTTACTGTTGAAAAGCCAAAACTGTTCTGTGGGCAGGGATGTGAGGAAACTGGTTACCTAAAGTCAGAGTATGCGCGGCCTCTCTCCCCGCTCTGCTCAATAGGAGAGAGGGAGTGGCCGATAACTCCGGAAGAGGCCTTTCCATCTCTGATCCTGAGATGCAGCCCACCTGTCAGTGTTTGGTGGCGGAGAAGTCTACAGAGAAGTGGTGCTACTGCAGAGCCCAAAAACAATGATTTCAGGCTGAAGTTTCTGGTGTTAATATTTCATTTAATGTTTCATTAATCCAACAATTTTCTTCTTATTTGGGTGAGCTATTGTAATAGGCTATCCTAGCATTACCACAGCTTCATCTTTAAACTGAAATCTTTTCAAAAAATAAAAACCAACAAGTACTGGCAAGGATGTGGAGAAATTAACACTTGAGCACTGCTGGTGGGAAAGTAAAATGGCCCGCAATATTGCTGCCTCAAAAAGTTAAACATAAAATTACCATAAGATCCAAGGATTCCACTCCTGGGTATACACCCAAAAGAACTGAAAGTAGGGACTTGAACTGGTGTTTGCACACCCATGTTCACAGCAGCAGCATTCATAATAACCAAAAGATGGAAACACCTCAGTTTTCCGTTGACAGATGAATGAAGCAACAAAATGTGGCATGTACATGTAGAGGGATACTACTCAGCCTTTAAAAAAGTAAATTCTGGCATACTATAGCATGGATGAACCTTGAGGACATTATTCTAAGTGAAATAAGCCAATCACAAAGTGGCAGTTATTGTTTGGTTCCATGTATCGTGTTTATCTATCAAGAATAGTCAAATTCAAAGAAAGTAAAACGGCGGTTGTCAAGGGTTGAAGGGGGAATGGGGAATTGGTGTGTAGTGGGTACAGAACTTCTGTTTAGGATGATGAAAAAGTCCTGGAAATGAGCAGTGGAGATGGTGCACAGTGAATATACTTGATGCCTCTGAGTTGTACATTTAAAAATGGCTAAAATGGCATATAGATTTTACCACAATAAAGACTTTTAAATGCAAAATATAAATATTTCATTTAACCACTCTAGCTATACCTGCAAACAAACCATCAGCAGGTCAGTAAATATTTTGTGCCTATTCTGTGCAGATGGCAAATGCTGAGAGGTGCATTGGTATTCCTTCAGTTGGAAGCAACCAGCCAGCAACAGGAAGGGAAGCTGTGGCTCTCATGACTGAGCCTCAAACCATACCATCAGGACTTTTCTCAGTGTCCCAACTCTGGCTCCTCTGTGTGGCTTTATTCTCAAACAGGCATCACAAAATTTGGCAACAATTGTCCCCAGCAGCTTCTATTAGTTTAACAACTCCTAGAGAAAAGGGGTCTCTTACCAGGAGCTCCAGTGAAAGCCCAGGACCGGTGATTCTCATTGACAGAAATTAAGTCTCATGTCTGGCCTTGAGGCATTCATGGTGACAGGAAAACCCAGCAAAGGAAAATCAGGGTGCAGTTAGAATAGAGGGCATCAGGAAGGCAGTAAAGACTGTATGTCACTGTGGGACACACCAAAATTGCAAGGAAAAAGCTCTGGCCCCCATAAAACTTGCCATCTGGTTGGAAGAGATAAAATTCCCAGGCACAAAAGCAACGAAATGCAAAAATGGTGTAGAAATTCTAAGTACAGTAGGGCTTGAGTTGGACCTGGCAGTAGAGGAAGCATTTCAGTGTACAGGAGGAGAAGTAAGCGGGAGATGGGAGGAGAAGAGGTGTGAGGGGCAGGAAGAGACACAGGTTGCACTGGGCAGTGGTGCAGGAACCAGGCTGGGAGCAGAACTTTCCATGAAAAAGCCACATCTGGCAGCACCGATGCCTTGAAAGCTGGCTAGGAACTTCCCCTAGCATCTTCTTTTCTGAAAGTTGGGCATATGTATTCTTGGGTCTAGGGAAACATTCCAACTGTTAAAGGCCAGGCAAGACAGGAGAATGAAATCATTTTCCACACCACTGTCCAGATGAATGCCAAGGCTACTATGTGGGTCACACACGGCTGTGAAAGGAGAGCAGCTGCCTGAAGGGAATGGCTCCATGAGCTGCCATGAATGTGCCAGTTGCTTTTATGCCCTAAAGAAAGCAGCAGAAGATTCCTCAAACATAGCCATAGACCTCACACGCCAGGCGTGCCCTGCCTGCTGGGTAACAGCCAGCACCAGCAGCCCAGAGAAATTTCTTGTACAACTGCAGCCAAACTGGGCAATAGTGGCCACATTTCACCCTCTCTTCTTACCAGGAGGTAACGTGTTAGTGTTTTCAGTGTTATGCATCTATTTTTTATATCTGTGTACATCATAATTCTTAAGCACATTAGCTTCACCCTTTTTTCCTGTAGAATGGCCTGTAATTCTTATGTAATACATTTGTTTCACCCTTTTTGTTCCTGTACAATGAATGTAAGGTTTACAAACTCCTTATTTTAAAAAATTAATTTATTTTTTGTTGTATATGTTTAATTTACAACATGATGTTTTGATATACAAAGTAAAAGGACTACTATAGTCGAGGCAATTAACATATTAATGTCTCATACAGTTATGGCAAGAGCACCTAAAATTTACTCTTTTAGCAAAATGCATTTTTTGGCCAGGCTGGTCTTGAACTCCTGACCTCAGGTGATCTACCCATCTCGGTTTTCCAAAGTGCTGGGATTACAGGCGTCAGCCACCACGCCCGGCCAAGACTTATTTGAAAAGCAGCAACAATTCCCAGGGTTATTATAAGGATTAAGGTTTGTTGTTTACCTATTGTGTGCAAGATACCATTCTAAGAATCGCAAACACCAGAGATAAACAGAAAGGACAAGCTCCCTGCCTTGTGGAACTTATTTATAGGAAACAAATAGCAAGCAAGGCTAAGTGGGATAAAGGACAACTAAGAGGCTTCCCTAGGGAGTGCCATTTGCTCTGAGGCCTATGAACAAGAATCTGTCTGCCAGGTAAAGGAAGAGCTGGTACAAGGTCGAGATGGGAGGGGGCCATGAACTTGGTGTATTCCAGGAAGTGGACAAAGGCCACCATGGTCACAGCAACATGGGCAAGGGCACCAGAGAGTGGCAGGAGGAAGGGTCATGGGGCTTAAAAGAGTCCTAGTAATCCGCAGAAAAGGGTTTAGATTTTGTTCTAGGCGAGGGGGATAAAAAAGCCACTGGAAGATAAAAAGCAAGCAGTTACATAATGTGATTTGCATTTTTGGATTACTGTGTTAAAGATTAGAAGTGGATGAGATTGGAAGTCTTCCAGAAGCAAGGCTGTGGTGCTGACCCGGGGAAGCACCAGCAATGGCTTGAACGGCTTTCTGCTGTTACCGGCCTCACCACCATCAGGCTGGCCCCTTGCTGTGCAGCTGTAACCACGCTCTAGCAGGCCCCACTACCAAACTCCAGAATCTACCCCAGCTGTTCAGCTAGAAACTGAAGAAGCCCTTAGTTATTCTGCTGCTGCACCTCAGTCCAGGCCAGCCTTCCTGCAAATGGCCTTGGGCCAAGAAGAACCTTCTAAACCCCATTCTCTTCAGGGCTCAGGATTACACAACAAGGTTCACAGGCCTTTCTGCCATTTTTCTTTTTAAGGGGCAATCCCTTCTCCAACTTTTAGGTTGGTGCTTCCAAACTATTACCAGTGATTTACAATTTAGTAAAAATGAGTTCCTTCTCTTTAAATTTGTTTTTGTCAGGGGACAACTGAGGTCTCAGTGTGGGGCTGGTAGGGTAGGGCTGGGTAAACACGGTCCTCAGTGCTACTGAACAATCTAATCTGAAGGAATAGAACAGGAACACAAAGAATGCTGGCTGCTTATTTTTCCTAGGCCCAGCTCTGTCTATTAGCTTGAAAGGCCCCAGTTCTGTCTATTAGATTGAAAAAACCCACCCACTATGACTTCCCAGTAAGCTAATAAACTTCAACAGGGCTCCGGGAATCCAAATAAAAGTTCATAATTCCCATAGTAATCCTAGAATGAATTCATCAATCATCAGTGGCCCCAGGTCTACAGGCCAATCCCAGTCCATGTGGTCCCTTGTAAAAATCATCTTAAATTGGTTAAAATAAAAACAAAGCACTGAGAATATAATGATAAAATCAGTGCACCTAAAAGCAGCTGTCGGAATGATAAATTCCAAATTTTGGGAGAGTGATGTAAGCAATTATCTATAAAATTGCTTATATGTCTTGAGTCATTTCATTTAAGGGAATTTACCCCAACTAACCCCAATGATATCAAACTAATTTATAAAATATATTTGTAGCAGTACAAATCATACCATAAAATTTGGAAATGGGCTAATCAAGTTATGGTCCATCAACAGGTTTCACTACTGTGCCTGTTCACCTAATAAACACTCCTATTGGCCAGGTACTAAACTAGCTGGTGAGAAAACGAAGCTAACTGTGACCTACCTGCTCCCCAGGGGCTGCTGACCTAGTCAAGGAAGTCCAACTACCTGGGCTTCAATCCTGCTCCAGTCCTTTCTCACTGAATGGCCTTGGGGAAAGTACCTACTCTTTCTGAGACTGAGCTGTCTCATATGCAAAATGGAAGTAGTAACAGTAACCACTGTTATGGCCAGTCAGGTTATGAGGACTAAACAAGATAGTACCGGTTAAGCATGTAGAATAGTACCTGGTACTAAATTTTGTTAAATAAAATAATTGTATAAATGGCAAATTACAACACAATATGTAAGTGCTATAATAGTATATGTAAGTGTACAGTGTGCACATAAATGGACTCATTCTGTCTGGGAGGATGGTCT